CGCGACTGCCGCTGCCGACCTCTGATATCGCCTCTTCCGCCACGGGGACCTCCATCTCCTCCACCTGCTGCGGAGCTGCAACAACCTCGGGCGAGTCGGCACAAATTGGACACCTGGCAGGTCGTGTCACATCACTCATCCACTCGCACCCATTCTTGCACTCCTAAGGATAATTTTACTTCTCCAGCTCCATTTACACGCTCTGCTACACAGTGGAAGAAATTGGCTCGCAGGGTTGTAGCTGCGGCGTCGGGCTCGTCGACGGTACGGGGTACCATCGACGGCGTTGACGTCCGTATTTTGGTGGACACTGGCGCGTCTGCTACCATCATTTCAGATGTTATTTTTCATTTGTTGTCCATTCCTACGTCGCGGATACGCAGGGTTGATGATGCGTGTGTTGCCGCAAATGGGGGAAGCATGGGTATCTGTGGTCAGGTAGAGGTGAGCATCGCTATCGGAAATATTATCGCCGCAGGACCTGTGTTAATCTCTCGCTAGCTGTCCCATGCTTACTTGGTACTGATTTCCTGCGCCGGATGCCGCTGAAAATACGGGGCGACCAGGATTGTTTGGAAATGCGGGGGGTTGTAGGATGGCGTTCCTGCCTTCTCTGCTGGCCGGTGCGCCTACAGGTAACGCTGTTACTGCCGTAGTCGCTGCTACGGTGGAGGTTCCTTCGGGAGCGCAAATGCTCATTTCGCTGCGTTACCGAAAACCCCTTCAAATGGGAAGGGATGCGAAGGGAGTGCTATTATCCCTATCCAATTCGGTATCTAAATCTTTTTCTTTGGCGGCGGCACGAACGATCGTGCGACCAGGTCAGGCACCTTTCATACAGGTGTTGAATGGGGGACCTGACCGCGTTGTTGTTCCGGAGGGATCGGTGCTGGCTCACGCCACTACCGATTTCGCCTCTTGTGACGAAGCGCCGCGCGCCCGGATGCCCGTGGGTGGGCCTCCGCACGATCGTTCGCAAGAACGCTGGATTGCGAATTTATGCGGAGAAAATTCTTCCTTGTCGAATGAACAAAGGAATGCCCTGCGTTCACTATTGCTACGGTACGCTGATGTTTTCAGCAGAAATGATTTGGACCTCGGCCGCACGTCGCTTTTGTCGCACCATATTGACACCGGTGCGGCACCTCCCATCTGTATGCACCCTCATCGCATGAGCCCAGCGGAAAGGGAACATGTGCGCGGAGCAGTAGATGAATTGCTGGCGGCAGATATTGTTTCGCCGTCCAACAGCCCTTGGGGCGCGCCCGTCGTTCTGGTTAAGAAAAAAGATGGTGGTACAAGATTTTGCGTTGATTTCCACCGGTTGAACAAAATTTCGGTGGCGGACGCGTACCCCTTACCGAGGATGGATGACTTGTTGGATGCTTTATCGGGTGCTAAATTCTTTTCCACCCTTGATCTGTCCTCGGGCTTTTGGCAGCTTCCCCTCGATGACGAGTCTAAAGCCAAAACGGCATTCCGCACGCCGCAAGGTCTCTTTGAATTAAATCGGTTGCCTATGGGCTTGAATGCGGCTCCGGCGACGTTTCAACGGCTCATGAAATTGGTGTTGGCTGGACTACAGTGGGAAACGTGCCTCATATATCTAGACGATATAATTGTCTTCAGCCGCACGTTCGAGGAACACCTCGAACGCCTAGAGACGGTTTTTCAAAGAATGCGGGCGGCTGACCTCAAGTTTAAACCTAAGAAATGCCACCTTTTGCAACACTCCGTCCGTTACTTGGGTCATATTGTCAGCTCAGACGGCGTGTCAACTGACCCTCTGAAAACCAAATGTGTTCGAGAGTGGCCCACACCCACTTCAGTGGGTGATGTTCAGCGGTTTATTGGATTCGCTTCCTATTATCGCCGCTTCGTTAAGAACTTTGCGATGTTGGCGAAACCATTACACGTTCTAACGGGCAAAAATCAAAGGTTTAAATGGGGAGCGGAGGAAGAAAGTTCTTTTAGAGCACTTCGGGATCACCTCGCCACGGCGCCTACGCTAGATTACCCAGACTTCTCGCAGCCGTTCATCCTTGATACGGATGCTAGTGATATTGGCATTAGGGCCGTTTTGTCGCAACGTAAGGACGGGGTTGAGCGAGTGGTGGCGTACGGCAGCAGGGTTCTGTCCCCTGCGGAAACGCGATATTGCGTGACAAGGCGGGAACTTTTGGCAATTGTGCATTTTGTTCGATTGTACCGGCCGTACCTGTATGGAAGGAAATTCCTGGTTCGCACTGATCATGCGGCTTTGCAATACTCCTTGAAATTGGATCAGCCGTCAGGCCAATTGGCTCGGTGGTTGGAATCGTTACAGGAATTTTCCTTCGATATTACATATCGTAAGGGGGCCCGTCACACGAACGCTGACGCGCTCTCAAGGCTGCCGCCCGTTCCTCCGTGCACTTGCCTGACGGGCACGCACCATTGTGCGGCACCACTCACCTCGCCCTGCCCGGTTATGGGGGCGATAGCGAATGAGGACGACGCTGGGGCGAAAGCAAAGGAGGACGACCAGCAGGTGTCGGTGGACACCGATGATACCTTACGGCTGCCGCACGCGGTCTGGTTACGTGAGCAGGAGGCTGATGCCTCGCTGTCTCCGCTACGGAAATTGGTAGGGAAGCAAAAATCTCCATTGGCGGGATGGAAGTGGCAGATGTTCCGAGGCAAGTCGGGATTGTTAATGTGCACCGACGGGTTGTCGGACCGACCACGCTTGGTCGTGCCTACTTCGCTTCGCTACGACTTGCTTCGCGCTCTGCACGCTGATAAGTTGATGCACCTCGGCGTCCAAAAGACTTTGGCCGCGATGCAAAAGGATTTTTTCTGGGCCGGTATGACGGCGGACGTCAATGACTTTGTCCGCTCATGCCATGATTGTGCGAAGAGGAAACCGCCTCGGAACCACTATGTACCGCCGTTACGTTCCATTGAGGTGTCCCGCATCAACGAATTAGTTGCTCTGGACATTCTGGGCCCATTTCCCCCGTCGGCTAGGGGCAATAAATACCTTCTGGTCGGGGTAGAATATTTTTCTCGATGGCCGATGGCCTGGCCTCTACCCGACCAGACGGCAGCGTCCATCACCGACGCTTTCTTGAACGGGTATGTCATGGACAAGGGGGCACCTGAGAGGCTGCTCACAGATCAAGGGCGGAACTTCTCCTCTAAATTGCTTAAGGAAGTTTGTGACGCGCTGGGTACAAAGAAAATTCGCACTTCCCCATGCCATCCACAAACAGACGGTATGGTGGAACGATTCAACCGTACCCTCTCGGCTATGCTTTGTCACACGGTCAGTGAAAAGCAAACCGATTGGGACTTGCACATACCAGGCGTCTTAGCAGCATACCGCATGGTTCCACACACGTCCACGGGATACTCACCATTTTTTTTATGTATGGCCGTGAGAATGTTCCACCCATCGATGTGCAACTGGGTAAGCCGAGTAAACAACCGTCCCGCTCCTTGCCTGATCACGTGCGGGACTCGCTTGAGCGAGTTACGGAGGCGCGAGAGGCTGCCAGGTGTGCGACGGCCCGTGCCCAGGCAAGGAACGAACGGTATGCGCGTCGATCGCGTACTCGCATGCCTTGGTCAGTGGGAGACCTGGCGTGGCTCCACTGCCCCCAGGTACCGGCGGGCACATCCCCTAAACTGCACAGGCCGTGGCGGGGGCCCGTAACGCTGGTAGATGTTCAAAACTCACAAAGTATCCGCGTTCAGTACGGAAAACGTCGGTGGTATGTTCATTCCTCGCGACTTAAACCCTATGTTGACACGCGTGTCGGTCCTTCATCCCCACTAGCTGACCTGCCGGGTTCTGCCGTGCCGATTATGCCGATTGCCACGCCCGTTGATCCCAAAGGGGACTGTGTTGTGCCTCCTACAGATGAACAGGTTCTGAGGGCTGAGGAAGCCCCCGCTGCCCCCCCTCCAACGGGGCCTGCCCTGGACATGACCGAGGACCAACGACCTTCTTCTTCTTCAAGCCTACCACCTCCTGTCGATCCGGAAGTAAAGCGACCATGCGCTAGGAACGGAGAGGGTCCTGCGTCGCGTACGCGATCCAAATCTCTCCCGTTTCGTTAACGTTTGATCGTCTAGCTGTTTCTTCCCTGTCGTTACCGCGCTGCAGGGGCGCCCTAATGTACGTCGGGTTTTTTTATGGGTGACTCTGTTTTTAAGTGTTGTTCGGCGCGGGGACGCCGTTTCACCCTTTATTGTTACATGCACCTTGGTGCCCTAATAAGATGTTTTACGGAATTGGTTAATCACCCTTTTCCCAGCCGAGACGGCTGATTTTTTTCACCGGGGGGGGGGGGTGATGTAATAACAGCCATAGAGGATTCACGTGGGGATTGGCTTGCCGGTCCCGCTTTGTAGCCAATAAGGGATGAGCCAGGGAGCATGGCCTCGGCGTGATCACGACATGTTAGCAGGGGTGATTGGCTTGGCCAATTGGGGCCTCAGCTAATGGGGAGCCGGATCAGAGGCGTGGTCCCGGGATTGACAGGGAACCATCTGGAATGGTCAACGCTGTCTATGGAGGATTGGCTGGGGGGTACCACGTGACGAAGGGATTAAGAGAGAGAGAGGGAGCAGTCGTGAGCAGGGAGTCACGCGCGTACGGGGCTCTGTGTGCCACGTGCGCGGTGGGGACTTGGCGAGAAGTCTGCCCTCTCTCCGTTGTCTGCCAGCAACGGAGAGTGTGTGTGTAAAGTGTAACTGTGGAAGTTGACAATAAAAAAGACTGATTCCAGAAGCCGTCTCAAGAAGGTTTATTACAGACTGATCATTTCTTTGTCAGTGGGCAAACGTACAAAATCAGCAGGGGATCAAAATTTTTTTCCCTCACTGTACTAACCACACAGATATGCATAGACACACCACGCAGATACCCATAGACTCATAACACAGAGACCCATAAACGCATCACGCAGAGACCCACAGACTCACCACACAGAGACCCATAATTTCACCACCCAGATACCCATAGACACACAACGCAGAGATCCATATACTCATCACATAGAGCCAATGTATTCGGCGAAGAACCGGATGAATACATTGACATTGTCCATGTATTGTAGGCATGTAAACCATTTTAGGACTGCTAAGGTCAACTAAATTTTGAACTGAAAGATTGCCGATGCAATCTGAAGGCCCATACAATGGTATACGTGACTAATATACCAGACAATAAATCCCGCGTACTGAAGAATTTTTCTCCCGCCAATGCGTCAGGTGCATAATCTATACACGGTAGGAGATATATGAGTCAGCAAGCATAACGGTGCTGAGGCAGTGGAAGTCTACACAGAATCTCAGTGACTCGCCTGACTTTTTGACTAGGACCACCGGAGCCTGCCATGAACTTGACGAAGGGGAAATGATGTCGGCCTGCAGCATCTCCTGCACCGCTTGCTGGTTGTGCCCTTTTTCCAGCGTTCCCGGTTGAACACGTCGGAGAACTTGCGGACCAATGAGTGCAGCCAGTGGGCTGCAAATCTGGCCATGGCTCCGCCAGCTGGTCCATCCACGCGTCGTCCCCTCTGTCCTCGGACTTGTCAACGCTTCCCACGACCTCTGGCCATGTCCCAGGGATTCCTATTGACAAGGGACTGACATGGGCCAGAACCGTTCCCGCCCGCATTGTCGGTTTCCCTGTCCGAGGTGTTCAGGACTTGAATGAACAGATGCTGATTCCCCTGGACACAATCGTCTCGGCCCGCACCATTGTGTGGCGATCCGTGGCGGCTTGCGCTGGAGACACCAGGATGGGGGAGTCCGGCTGGGACCGTCACGATGGGGGACCGATATCGCAGCGGTCTTAGTATCTGGGCTACTGTGGGAATGGAGACAGACTCACTGACCAGAGGCTGCATGTGCGTGCGGTACCCTCCGGCGAGCTCCTTACACCTTCAGGAAATGGAGATGCGTTCCCTGGACTTCCATCCGACCATTGTCCAGATCGATTTTCATCGGCATTTGCCTCAAAAAGTCCGTCGCCAACAGGCGGGGCACGGGAAGCGTTGTGGAGACAATAATGGGTCCTGAAACCGACAACTGCCCAATTTGTATAGGGGCCTCAACCTGGCCCAGGAAGCCCATACTCCCTCCGTTGGCCACGAAGAACGTCGTCTTGGACCCCTCATTGTGGTGCGGGGTGGGCCTCCCATGTGATGTGGGTTGGAGCCCACCATGTGGTGTGGTGTGGGCCCCCAATTTTGGTGCGGGATGGACCCCTGATTGTGGTGCAGGGTGGGCTCCCCATTGTGGTGCGGGGTGGGCCCCCCATGTGATGTGGGGTGGGCCCCACATATGATGTGGGGTGGGTCTCCCATGTGGTGTGGGCCCCCCATCGTGGTGCAGGGTGTGGGTGCCCCACCCAGCCCACCCGCCCCACCTGCCCTTTGCAGGCCACGTCTTGCGCCGCCACATTTGCGTAAGCGCGGCGGTGCGCGAGAAGGCTCTGCAGCGTGCCAGTGAGCAGGTGTGCTATTGCCGCACCGGGGGCATTGGCCCTGGCAACCCACTGGTGTCACCAATAAACATCGTCGACACTTCCCTTGGCGAAGTCAACACCGGGTCTCGACGTCACCCCCGGCCCAAATGCCACCCGCAGTGATGGCTCCGAATTCAGCTACTGGAGGTCCGTCCTGAGCTGCCGCGTAGAGAGCACGCGGGCAGTGGTTCAAGCATGGCGGTTTGTGTCGCTGGCCCTGGTAGCGCCACGGTAAATGGCCGACTGCTCCCTCCCGCGGTGCCCACCACCTGGCCCACCGGTCGCACCCAACTCATGGCCTGTTTATGGGCCTGCAGTATCCGGGCGGCCTACAGTGAGGTAAGCTCGTCGGGCGTCACCACCGGCATAACAACGCCGGCACGGCAAGCGTAGGCAGCAAAGAGCTTGACCACGAGGTTCTCGAGTGCCTCGTCGGCCAGGCGAGGAAAGGCTCTCCTTGCCAACACCAGCAGTGCACCCGTGTAGGCTAGAGTTTAACTCTCTAGCCCCCCAATGGCGGGCCTGAAACCGTTTGAAGGCGCCCCCGGCAGGTGAGTAGATTTCCCTCAAAGCCTCGTAGGCTGCCTGTAGCGTGGTCTTGCTTGCGCAAGAAGGGAGGTGTAAGAGTCGAGCACATCATCATCCAGAACGGATGCCAGCACTCGTATCGCCTCTTCGTCCGACCATTCGATTTGTTTACCTTTCATATACCTTTCATATACTTTGCATTCATATCGTGTGTGTATTGTGTTTGTTGTTGTAAGGATCTGACCCCCATGCCCCGACTGGACGTCTGTGAAAAACAAATTTAAAGCTCATCAAATTTCCTCCTCCATACTAAATAAATAATCTGATTCTGACTGATTTCCACGAGTGGTTGAAACGGGCGTCATTGGCGAACTTTCGTCACACATCACTGTGAAATAACACACAAAGTTACCAACTCGAGCAAGATTAATTTAATTTTAAAAAGTAAAAACCATTAGAAGTCGCCCGTCTTCCAAGCAACATACTGCATGCATTTTGTTTGACAATTGTGTGTTGAGTAAGAGATCATAGAACGAGAGGTATAAGCATTGTAATCAGGTACAGGTGATATCCCTCGAATCACGAACGTTTCGGTTTACGAAGTTTCGCGTGAACGCGATTGAGAAATGACAGACGGTGTTTTGATTTTTCGAGTAAAACGAAACCATTTATTTAATATTTTAACCAGGTGTAATGCCCCACTACTGACCTGGGGTAGCTCTCACCCTCTCCGGTCATTCCAACATGCAGCAATTTGTTTTATTAATAGTTCTTTCAAATGTATTATTATTAAATTGTTGTAATATTCACGTTTTTTAAAATAATGTTATTACACTTTTTTTGCATCCTAAAAAGTGGCAAAAATGTATTGCTATTTTTTTTCCCGAGTTGGAATGACTGTCCGATACACATCCCCCAAATTTTAGTATTAAACCAAATGGGTAAAGCCGTTGCGAATTACAAATTTAGTTTTATACTCGTTAGTCTGTCTTTTTTGTTGTTCGAGAAATGCATCCCATTCGGTAAATCGAGCAATACCTTGTATATGCCATTGGTAAGGGTCACACAAATCTGCAACCCCACCCACCACCCCAACCTTGAGTATAGGAATTCCTTTCACCCCCCAATCATCCGCACACTCTCTGAACACCCTACATGACCCGTTCCCAGTCCAGGTTAAAGACCTTTCCATTATCTTCTGCCATACAGGATCCACTGTCTAGCTCTATATAAGTGATGGTATATCATTCCCCACTTGGGTAACTGTGTATTGAGTCTATGGGTCTCTGTGTGATGAGTATATGGGTCCCTGTGTGATGAGTCTATGGGTCTCTATGTGATGAGTCTATTAGTCTTTGCGTGACGAGTGCACTTGTATCTATGTATGTGCATACGCACGTTGAACTTTTTTAGCAGAGTAACGCAATAATCTAGACGATTTAAACGTTGCACAGCTCCACTGGTGGAAGCGTCGTAAGACAACCGAATGGAAGGAGAAAAGTGATTGGACCGAACCCAGGCACGTGGGGTGGGGGGTGCGGCTGTGACGTCACGACCTACACCAGAGCCCTGCTGACCACGACGCTGATGGCCACGCCCAGCAGGGCCAGGGTCACGTGAGCTGCGCCCACCGGGCGAGGGGCGGCGTTGACGTTGCAGCCGTCGCTCTGGCAGCACGTGGTGCTCAGCTTGGCTTCGTTGGCGGTGATGCCTTCGAATTCTTTGGCGGCATCGCAAATGGCCTTGCTCACGCACTGCTTGGTGACGATGTAGACTGGGTGGAAGAGAAAGCAAGCGGGTCTCATTGTAAGTTTAAAAAATATGTATAATTTAAAACACGTAAAAATATATTTGTAATTGTTATTTTACCAGGTGTAAGCCCCGCTGAGCTGTCATGTAGCCCTTTTTCAGAAGTGACCTGTGCGTGTGTGTTGAACTGCTTTCGTGCCGTACATAGCCAACCGTGCTAATCTGTGGGTGCCGATGAGTCTATCATGGGTGTTTGTGGGATTCTGTATATGTGTAGTGCCTGAAAATACGCGTCACTCGCGCGAGTGGGTGTACGCGCGTGCGGAGTACAGTGGGAGCAAACGAGGTCGAGGGTGTTGTTGTCGTTAGGCGTAGGGAGAAGGTCAGAGACGAGTAGGGGGCAACTAAGGACACAGGGCACTGATTGGCTGGGAGTTGTTATTGTCCAAAGGTGGTGCCGCGCTGTCTGATGACAGTAGCAGGTGGTAAGGGATGATTAAGGACGCAGGGTGCTGATTGGCCGATAATTTGTTGTTGTCGCTAAGTGGCGCCGCATTGTCTGGCAAAACATTGCAGGTGCCAGCGGGGGCTGGGGGCGAGTGGCGACGCGGGGGATGCTTCAGATTAATTGAAGATTAATTGGCTGGGGGATGAAGAGAAGGGGCTGAACTGTGATAGGGAGAGTGGAGAGGAGAGTCGACGGAGAGATGCGGAGTGAGCACGCGGCGAGCGAGCGGAGAGCGCGCTGGAGGAATGTTGATTGGTGCTCGCAGGAGGAATATTGATCGGTATAAGCGAAATAAAGTGAGAGAGAAAAGCAAGAAGCTGTCGTGTCAAGACGAGCACTACATATGTATGTGTGTGTTGAACTTTTTTCGTAACATACATAACTGCAGCTGCGCGAGGAAGGAAAACAAACTAAAACACAAAAAGTAGTTTTAATAAATGAGTGTCAATCTAGATTATGATTTCAAATTGCAAAGCCCTCAGTGGCTTCCTCATATTAGAAGGCAGAGCATCCCAGATGGCTGCAGAAGCAACGCTTCCGACAGCACCGTGTGAAGATGCAGTGGCCACCTTTGTTCGACAGCCAGCCAAAAAGCCGCTCCCACAAATGGTGGCTGATATCATCACTATTATTATCGAGAGAAAATGTATAGCAGCAGCCGAATACTCGAAACACCGTGACGTAAATTCAAAAATGTGAAGGGGGAAAATCCGGAGGACCCCAGATAAATATGAACACATTGGGGAAGAGTCTCCGATTGGGATGCAGAAACTCATGAACTGATCACGCAGACTCATCAGACACAGAGACCCGATAGACTCATCACACACAGAGACCCCATATACTCATCACCACCCAGAAACCCCAGAGACTCATCACACACTGAGACCCATAGACTCATCACACACAGAGAACCCTAGAATCAAAACAAACACATAGACCAACAGAAGCATCACACACATAGACCCATAGACCCACCAAATAGAGACCCACAGGCTCACCACACAGAGACCCATAGGCTCACCACACAGTGACCCATAGGCTCACCACACAGAGACTCATTATTATAATCAATACACAGAGACCCATAGAATCATCACCGCAAAGAGACCCATAGACTCTTTACACAGAGAGATGCATAGACTCACCGTACATAGATCCACAGCCTAACCACACAGAGATCCTATAGACTCCACACACAGAGACCACATAGACTCATCACACACAGAGACCCATAGACTCATCACACACAGAGACATATAGACTCCCCACACAGAGACCCCATAGACTCATCACCACACAGAGACCCATAGACTCATCACACACAGAGACCCATAGACTCATGACACAGAGACCCCATCAACTCATCACACACAGAGACCCCATCGACTCATCAAACACAGAGACCCCATAGACTCATCAAACACAAAGACCAATAGACTCGCCATGCAGAGACTCCATAGACTCAAAGCACAGAGACCCTATGGACTCATCACACACAGAAACCCCATAGACTCTCCACGCAGAGATGCCATAGACTCAACGCACAGAGACCCCATAGACTCATCACCACACAGAGACCCCATAGACTCATCACCACACTGAGACCCATAGACTCATCACGCATACAGACCTATAGGCTCACCACGCAGAGATTCCATAGACTCAAAGCACAGATACCCCATAGACTAATCACCACACAGAGACCCATAGACTCATCACAAATAGAGACCCATAGGCTCGCCACGCAGAGACTCCATAGACTCAAAGCACAGAGACCCCATAGACTCATCACCACACAGATACCCCATAGACTCATCACACACAGAGACCCATAGACTCACCACGCAGAGACTCCATAGACTCAAAGCACAGAAACCCCATAAACTCATCACACATAGAGACCCATAGACTCGCCACACAGAGACTCCATAGACTCAAAGCACAGAGATCCCATAGAGTCATCACCACACAGAGACCCCATAGACTCATCACCACACCGAGACCCCATAGACTCATCACCACACAGAGACCCCATAGACTCATCACCACACAGAGACCACATAGACTCAAAACACAGTTAGATTGGACGCGCGTCTTGCGAGTGCATCATAGGCCTGGGAGTCACTGCTGGACGCAAGGGGTCCACCCCCAACCCGAACTTTGCTAGAATAAACAACGCACTTACAGGAGCCCTGGTAGAATAGAATTGTCGCGCAGGTGTCCTGCGATGCGAGGGGACACGTGGTGGGGCCGCCCACGTTGCACGCCGTATTGTTGGTGTTCATGATGCACGAGTAGCAATTGAGGCTGTGCCCTGTATATCCACAGACACAAGATACAATAACAACACCGATCATCATCATCATCATCGCAGCAGACGATCATCATCATCACGTCAGACGATCGTCATCATCACGTCAGACAGTCATGATTATTAAGGCAGACGATCATCATCATGCCAGATGATCATCATCACAGCAGACGATCATCATCACGGCAGACAATCATCATCATCACGGCAAACGAGCATCATCATGTAGGTGAAAACAACATAAAATAAAAATGAAATAAATCACGATGACTCTGGAACAACACAAGCATCTGTCATCAGGTATGACTACTCCAGCAAAATTACTGTAGCGTATGAAGAGATCTATTCAGAGACAACGTCTTTATATAGGGTGTTAGGGGGGGAGGAGTCAAGAGGTCGGGGGGGGGGGGGTGCAATGCGGCAGGCCGTGTGGCGTCGCGGGCGGTTGGGCAGGGGATTGCAGTCACGAAAACTTCAAATCTAGGATCATCATCACGGCAGACGATCATCATCACGGCAAACGATCACCATCGTCATCATCACGGCAGACGATCACCATCATCATCACGACAGACGTTCATCATCACGTCAGACGATCACCACCATCATCATCACGCTGCTGCACTAAGAACCGGGCCACCCGAGTTTGCTTCCCGCTCACGGCCGCCAACACCGCAGGTGGCGATCATCTGAAGCGGTACCCTGGGGCCTCCTCCCACGAGGTCGACTCGTCCTCAAATGGGTTCCTGGTGCAGTGGTGGTGTGGAGGAAACATCGCCACTGGGGAGACAAAGGTGGCCGAGCGTGGTGCTGGCCACCCACAGCCTCGTGTTTCCTTGCCGGCCTTCGTAGGCGCTGCTACTCGCTAATAGCGCTTGCCTCAACAATCTGTTCAGGCTAAACGGGGGATGTTTGTCTTTGCACGGGGTATTTGCAGGGTATATGGAGGAGGCTCGTGAAGGACGCCACCACTTTGGCATCTGGAGGCAGTCGCCTATCCAACAACAACGTATGGCAGGTGGAGCGACGCGGGCGGATAAAACGCAGCGAGTTGGCTGCAGTTGGGGGGCACAGGTGGTGCATCTGCACAGTCATCTCAGTCGGTCAATGCATGTCAACTGCGGGGTCTGTCCCGTGACCTCCCACTGCACCTAGCCTTGCAAAGCAGTCACCCCCCTGGCACCTGCAGGGTCTGTCCCCGTGACCTGCTCCTCATGCACCTAGCCTAACCCAGAAGTCAACCTAAGGTACCTGCAGGGGCCGTCCGTGACCTCACCCGGCACCAAGCCTGGCACAGCAGTCAACCTATGGCCCATGCAGGGTCTGTCCCGTGACCTCTCCATGCACCTAGCCTGGCACAGAAGTCAACCTATGGCACCTGCAGGGTCTGTCCCGTGACCTCCACCTGCACCTAGCCTGGAACAGAAGTCAACCTATGGCACCTGCAGGGTCTGTCCCGTGACCTCCACCTGCACCTAGCCTGGCACAGAAGTCAACCTATGGCACCTGCAGGGTCTGTCCTGTGACCTCCACCTGCACCTAGCCTGGCACAGCAGTCAGCCCACGGCACCTGCTGGGTCTGACCCGAGACCTCCAGTCATCGAGCCTTCAACACTTCACTTGATAGCCTCAAAGTGCACCTAGCCTGGCACAGGCCGCCGTCACTGCCACTTCGTGGCATTCGCGAACAAATTGTCGCAACTCGCCGCCTGATGAAGCTGCTGATTGTTGTTGCTGTTGTAGTTGTGGCTGTTTTAGTTGTTGTGGTTGTTGGTGTGGTTGATGAAGACCGCCTGTGTTGCAATCGAAACGTCGTGGGTTTTTTTCTTTTATTATTTTCAATTTATAATTTTTCTTTTATTATTTTCATCTTATCTTATTATTATTTTTTCTATTTACGTGACTTTACCGAAAGAACCAAGAGTATGAATTCCTGCAGTCACGAAAGTTTCAAGTGGTAAAGAGAAGTCAATTTATTTTCAAAAGGGAATGCGAGCGTGCATATGTAGTGGTGATACGCGCTGGGATTAGGGATCGTATGCCAGCGCCTAATGATTGGCTGTGTATGTGGTGACGCGCGCTGACGGTGGAGGATCAGGGGTCAGCGCGGGGTCGTGGGTTACGGGGTACTGATTGGCTGTGTGCCGGTGACGCGCTGAGAGGGAGTGATCGGGTGGCAGCGCGGTGTGATTGGTGGAGTAGTGTTAACACGAGCTGGGGAAAACGGATCGTAGAGAGAGTGCGTCGTGATTGGTTCACTTAGGAGCGATGCTCACGTCGACGTCCGCATCAGCTCCGTCTCTCGTGAGCAGGGGCTATAAAAGGGGATGCACACAGGCGTAAGGGCAGTATGTAACCAGCGAAGAATGAAGACGGGGATGAAGACATAGGGCCCTGCGGTACCTAGTCCCGCTGTCCTAACGGGACCGGGACTCTGTGTAACCCAGAGGCGAGTGTATTGTGTGTAGCCAGAGGCATAGGGTCTACACGAGCCGAATGCATTGTGTGTAGCCAGAGGCATAGGGTCTACACGAGTCAAGTGTATTGTGTGTAGCCAGAGGCATAGGGTCTACACGAGTCAAGTGTATTGTGTGTAGCCAGAGGCATAGAGTCTACACGAGTTAAATGGAGTGTATAGTCCAAAGGATAGAGACCACACGTTGTATTGTGACACGTCAAGATTTAATAAAAGTGTGTTACCCGTCAAGAAGTTCCTGCCGTCAATTCCAATACTTCAACTGGCGTCAGAAGTGAAACGGTCTTCCAAGCATGGATACAAGGAAGACCCGTCGGACCCACGGGATTGACCGCGGGGACAACCTCGACGACTCGGGCCAGCTGGCATCGGGGGGTGAGGACGAGGAATTGCCCACGCTGCAGGATCCGCCGACGGCGCCGGACGAGCGACGGGGGACCGACGCCGTGCTCCGCGAGGCGCACTCCCGTCTGGCGGAGCTGCTGCTCGCCGCCGCGTCCATCCTGGCGGAGATCAGCTCGTCGGGAGGAGCGGGGACGGCGGCGGACGTTCTACAGGGTCGCCCCGCAGATTCCCGCCAAAATGACTTGGCGATTCCCGCCATTTCATCTGCGCCGACTTTTGGCGGGAACGGCCATCACCACGTGGCAGCGGTTCTCCAAGCGCGCCCGCTTACGTCACCAACGCGCGCTGCGGACCGCCATCAAACACCCGCCACTGGGGCCGCCATCTTACACACCGACGGGGCGGCGGAGAGGAGGCACGAGGCGGAGGACGACTTCATCTTTCAACAGCGCCTTCCCACGTTGTCAGCCTTCAAGGCGGAAGGCGGGGACTGGGGCCAATTTCAGCGCAGGTTTTTGGCGCATCAGGAGATGTCCGCCTGGTCCGACGCTACGGCACTGCGGGCACTGCCTGCCATGCTAGACGACAACGCGCTCGCGGCCTTCACGTCCGCACGCAGGTCGGACCGCTCCACGCTCAAGGATGCGCTGGCTCTCATGGCCAAGGTCTACGGTCCTCCCTCGGCGTGTCGCCATCATTTTTATGCAAGACGGAAGGCGGACACGGAGACCGTGCTCGCCTATCGCACGGCGTTGCTGGCTCTCGCCGACGCCGCGTTCCCTCGTATGGACGAGGAGGGCCAAGATGCGATGGTTTTGGAGCAACTGCTCAAGTTGGCGCAGGACCTGGGGGTCCCCATCAACACGGCCGACGAGACCGATATTTCTTTCTTACAGGTCGCTACGAGCATACAAGCGCACGAGGTCCTTCAACGTAAACAGGGGGTCGTCTGCAACGCTGCCGTGGCCTCAGCTCCGGGCCCGGTAGTCACCGTGCCCCAAGTCGTCAGCCCACGAGAGGAGGCGTTCATCGCGGGACGACCGGGGGACTGGAGGTCGGGGGGTCGTTCGCCTCTGCGATCGGCCCGCAAGCTGGAGCAACCGAGATCTCCGACGACTGTCATCACGTGTTATAACTGCGGCCTCCGGGGCCATGTGGCCTCCGGTTGCCGCGCCCCACGTCAGCGCGCCATGGGACCTCGGCTGGACGACGAACAAGGCCCCAAGTCATCCCTACAAACCCCGGCAAGTCGCGGCACCTCACATACTCGGCCCGCATACTCGACACGCATGGGCCGTCGCGTTGCGGCGGAGGAGAGCCGAGTAGGGTTCGGGGATTCGGTTCGGCGAGGGGGGTTCGGCCGGGACCGGGGAGACATTAAATGGTCAGAGTTGGGGCACAGAATAGTGGCTGCCTCAGCGGGTTCATCCATCGTTACGGGATCTATTGATGGGGTCGAGGTCAGGGTGTTAGTGGACACGGGGGCATCGGCGACTATTATATCGGACCTCATTTATAACATTCTCCCTGTACAATGTCGTCCGCTTCTTCCGGTGGATGTGCCATTTTACGCCGCTAACGGGGGATCGTTGGGCATTATCGCTCAGATTAGGGCGTCCATTTGCATTGGAGATATCAAATTGTCGGTACCCGTTTTCGTTTCGTCCTCCCTGGCGGTTCCTTGTCTATTGGGCACTGATTTTTTGGCAAAAATGCCCATCAAAATTCTCATTGATCAGCGTTGCATTGAACTACCATCGGGTTGCCGTATTTCATTTATGACGAGCCCTACTGAAATTCGGACGGTGTGCGCTACGATACAAGCGTTAGCGACACAGACCGTGCACGTGCCCCCGGGTTCACAAATGTTAATTCCCCTCCGGTTGCGGAAACCATGGGTGAGGGAGGCCTCGGAACAAGGCATGCTTTTGGGTCCTTCTAATAGGGCTGTTGGAGGTCTCGATTTGTCGGTGGCTCACACTTTGGTTGGGGCTGACAGGGATCCGTTTGTGATGGTTTTAAACGCTGGGTCGCGGCCGGCCGTCATTCAGCAGGGCACCGTGCTAGCTCACGCGGCGCGGGTCCCTGCGGAAGAGCGGCTGGTTGCGCAGGCTGATCCGAGCCCCACGCAAAACGTTAAACCGAAGGAGGACCTCGAATGGGTCGATTCGCTGTGCGCGGACTCTGACGATTTGTCAGCGGTACAGTTGGGTGCGCTGCGCGGGTTGCTGATTGAATTTTCGGATGTCTTCAGTAAACATAAGTATGACATTGGGTGCACGGACCTGTTACGCCACCACATTGAAACGGGCGATGCGGCACCGGTCAGGCTAAATCCCGACATTATTTCGCCTTCTTCCAGTCCTTGGGGAGCACCTATTGTGCTCATTAAAAAGCAGGACGGGTCCTTGCCATTTTGCGTCGATTTCCGTCGCCTGAATAAGATCTCTGTGGCCGACGCGTATCCGCTCCCCAGGATGGACGAGTCCCTCGATGCATTGTCTGGTGCGCGATACTTTTCGACTCTTGATTTATTATCCGGATTCTGGCAGTTGCCACTCGACGAAGAGTCTAAGCCTAAGACTGCATTTCGGACTCCAGGGGGCCTGTTTCAGTTTAACCGGTTACCCATGGGACTTCACTCCTCTCCTGCGACGTTTCAGCACCTTATGGAGTTGGTTTTGTCGGGCTTGCAATGGGATACGTGCCTGATTTACCTTGACGATGTCATTGTTTTCAGTAAAACGTTTGAAGAACACCTCCAGCGATTGAGAGGGGTGTTCTTGCGAATGCGATCGGCTAAATTAAAGTTTAAACCGGCCAAATGCCACCTTTTTCGTAAATCCGTTAGATACTTGGGTCACATTGTCGACTCTTCGGGGATTTCTACCGATCCTGCGAAGACGGACTGTGTCAGTTCGTGGCCGACGCCCACGTCAGTTTTGGACGTGCGCAGTTTCATCGGTTTTGCTTCTTATTATCGCCGATTCGTTGAGCACTTCGCCACCATTGCAAAACCCTTGCACGCTCTAACGGCGAAAGGAGTGAAGTTCCGATGGGGACCGGAGGAGGAGGCTGCATTCTGCTCCCTCCGGGACGCCTTGGTAGGGGCCCCACCCTTGCGCTATCCTGACTTTGCGAGTCCCTTCTTGCTAGACACGGATGCTAGCAACACGGGCATTGGGGGGGTGCTGTCCCAAGTCGTTGGGGGGGTCGAACGGGTGGTCGCCTATGGTAGCAGGGTGTTGTCGCCGGCAGAGCAGCGCTACTGCGTCACCCGTCGCGAGCTGCTTGCCATTGTTTTTTTTGTACAACAATTCAGACCATATCTCTATGGTCGTCACTTTACGGTCCGGACGGACCACGCGGCGCTCCAGTATTCATTGCGGGTCGCCCAGCCCTCGGGCCAATTGTCGCGGTGGTTGGAAGTCCTCCAGGACTATCAGTTCACGACTACATACCGTAAGGGGTTGCGACACACAAATGCCGATGCCCTGTCGCGGTTGTTGCCTTGTCACAAATGTGCGTGCTTATCGGGATCGGCGCGCTGTAAACCGCCAGTTACGGAAGGTATGGAGGCGTTGGTTGCAACCGCGGGCACACCAATTGGGGATGTTCCCGCTACCCCAGGGGGTCAGGACTCGCTGCTCTCACTGTCGCTGATTGAGTGGGGCCGTCTCCAAATGGCGGACAGCTCCCTGCTAGCATTGCGCCGCAGGACGGGGGGTTCCGAAGGTGACCATGAACGAACTGGCTCCTACGTACTTAAGCAAGGCCTGTTAATGAGATGGGACAGTTTGTCCCGGCGGCACGCGATTGTGGTGCCTTCTGCTGTGAGGGGGAAGGTTGTCTTGGCCGCACACGAACGCCTCTTGCATTTGGGAGTTAACAAAACGCTTGCCCTGCTTCAGCGTGACTATTATTGGCCGGGAATGGGGAGTGACGTGGTGAATATTCTGAAGGGTTGTGTTGAGTGCGCCAGACGGAAACCACCGCCCGTGGCAGCTAATCCACCGCTGCAATCTATTCAGGTCTCGCGCACTAACGAGCTCGTTGCACTCGATATTCTGGGGCCTTTTCCAGTCACGCCTAGGGGTAATAAGTACCTGTTGGTGGGGGTCGAATATTTTACCCGGTGGCCTATGGCATGGCCACTCGCCAACCAGTCGGCGGCGGCTGTGACGGACGCCTTTGTCCAGGGCTACGTCCTGGACAAGGGGGCTCCCGAACGCTTGCTGACCGACCAAGGGAAACATTTTTCGAGTAAATTACTGCAAGAGGTGTGCGACCTGTTGGGTACTAAGAAGGTGCGTACCTCCCCGTACCACCCGCAGACGGACGGGATGGTGGAGAGGCTCCACAGGACATTGACTTCTATGCTGTGCCAGCAGGTGTGTGAGGCACATGTTGATTGGGACCTGCAGGTCCCTGGGGTCCTCGCCGCGTATAGAATGGCCCCCCATGCAGCTACGGGATTTTCCCCGTTTTATCTGATGTACGGTCGGGAAGCCGACCCGCCCATGGAAACGCAGCTGGGCCTGCCCGCACCACGAAATAATTCGAAATTGGCAGAGCATATTAAATTTAATATTCATAAGCTGACAGAGGCAAGGGAGGCCGCACGGCTTAATTCGCGGGCTCGCCAAATTGCAAACGAGCGGTTGCGTGCACGGAAGGTGTCCGTGCACAACTGGGAACCAGGTGACAGGGCCTGGCTGCATTGCCCTCAGGCACCTTTGGCTACGTCGCCTAAATTGTTGAAGCCATGGCGGGGACCCGTGGAGGTCGTGCGGGTTGCACGCCCCCAGTGCGTTCAGATAAAATGGGGAAAACGCCGTTGGTACGTCCACCCCTCCCGACTGAAACCGTTCTCGCCTCCATATGGCCTCCCCTTGTGTCGTGAGGGCCGAGCATGTGACGTGACCGACGACCCTAAGGGGGAAATGTCTTTGCCTGATCCTCACATGTCTCCGCCTGATCCGCTCCCAGGTGTCTCGGAACTGACAGCTGCCGACCACCGGCGGCCGAATCTTCGCGGCGGGGCCGGTCCTTCCAGGCCCGATCCGCGCCGTCTAGAGCTGCCGGAGCCACCGGACGGTCGCCAGCGTCCCGTCCCATACGACGGACCGGCCAGACGGACTCGCGCTAGGTCGCGCTACTTTTTATGACCTACCACGTGAGGAGTCGAGGCAGCCGGAGCGCCTCGTCACTGCGTTTAGTCACAGAGACACTTGGCGCGTTCGTTTTCTGGAGTTCGCTTTTATTGTGTTGTTCGTCGGGCTGTATATTGCTTCTTAATTAAGTGTTGCTGTTGTGTTGTTGTTGTTGCGTTACGGGGCACACTGGGGGGATGGGGTTCTTTTTTTTATTATTGCGTTAACGTTGGGTTGTGTTGTTGGTTAACAGCCGGGCCGGCTGCAAGCTATGTGGGAGGGGGTGATGTAGTGGTGATACGCGCTGGGATTAGGGATTGTATGCCAGCGCCTAATGATTGGCTGTGTATGTGGTGACGCGCGCTGACGGTGGAGGATCAGGGGTCAGCGCGGGGTCGTGGGTTACGGAGTACTGATTGGCTGTGTGCCGGTGACGCGCTGAGAGGGAGTGATCGGGTGGCAGCGCGGTGTGATTGGTGGAGTAGTGTTAACACGCGCTGGGGAAAACGGATCGTAGAGAGAGTGCGTCGTGATTGGTTCACTAAGGAGCGATGCTCACGTCGACGTCCGCATCAGCTCCGTCTCTCGTGAGCAGGGGCTATAAAAGGGGATGCACACAGGCGTAAGGGCAGTATGTAACCAGCGAAGAATGAAGACGGGGATGAAGACATAGGGCCCTGCGGTACCTAGTCCCGCTGTCCTAACGGGACCGGGACTCTGTGTAACCCAGAGGCGAGTGTATTGTGTGTAGCCAGAGGCATAGGGTCTACACGAGCCGAATGCATTGTGTGTAGCCAGAGGCATAGGGTCTACACGAGTCAAGTGTATTGTGTGTAGCCAGAGGCATAGGGTCTACACGAGTCAAGTGTATTGTGTGTAGCCAGAGGCATAGAGTCTACACGAGTTAAGTGGAGTGTATAGTCCAAAGGATAGAGACCACACGTTGTATTGTGACACGTCAAGATTTAATAAAAGTGTGTTACCCGTCAAGAAGTTCCTGCCGTCAATTCCAATACTTCACATACGCAGCACCAAACACGCCCAACACACAAGGTGTACCGAATAGGGCTTAACGATTTGGGGAAAATATCTAATTGCGATTTTTCTGACAAATTTATTGTGATTTGATTTGCGATTAAACATCTTTAAGTAAAGCTTCAGTTCAATATTCACTGTGTAATAGATTTAAAACATGTGATGGAGCATTACCACATGATACCATCAAAATATGAACTGTTCTATATATTCTAATGCAAGGATGAGAACTTAAAATATATTAATTGCTTTAAACATTTATTTATAAATAAAACATTTTATTGAAATAGAAAAATCAAACAGAGAACAATTGTTAAGTTCAATAAATAAATTTATTATAATAAAAAATTAAACAATTCCAAATTGCGATGTCGATTTGAAATCGATTAATCGTTTAGCCCGAGTACCGACACTAAACACACCAAAACATTAAAACGTAAATTATATGCGTTAGATTTACTATCGAGTTGTACCTTGTTGTGGATATTTATTGGGTATTTTCTAAACGTTTTGGTTCTTTCGGTAAGTCACGTAGGTATAAAATATAATATATCACGACGTTTCAGGCGCAACACAAGCGTCCGACATCAGGTGGGAAAGCATGGTCTGCTGCTCTGCCTCAGCTGCCTCAGCAGCAGACCATGCTTTCCCACCTGATGACGGACGCTTGTGTTGCGCCCGAAACGTCGTGATTTATTTTATTTTATACCTACGTAACTTTACCGAAAGAACCAAAGAGTATGGATTCTTGCAGTCACGTGAGCTTCAAATCAAGATTGGGTACTTTCTGTTTCTGATACATTGACAAGTCTGGTCATGTACAGCAGCAGTCATTATCAGGGTCCGGAATCGAACCCATGCTCCTCCTGTGTACCAGGCGAGGTAATTAACATCTCTATATATATTGCAGTATCGGCGTTGTTTTGGTGTTGTTGCAACAACAAACAACTCGCCACGCAGAAGTTGTCTCACCTCCGCTCACGAACAGCAACACCACGAGGAGCAGACTCGGCAGGTAGCAAGTCATGGTTAGAGTCGTGGAGCCTGGCGTTGTGGCGCTTTGGGATGGAAAGTCGGCGAGTTGAGAGAGACAGAGAGACAAGAGTCAGAGAGAGAAAGAGAGAGATATCACTGGAGCAGTGACTGCGTCTGCGTGGTGAACTGGGAGACTTTATAAGCCCCAGAGAATAATGGGATAGGGGAAGACACTCCTACAAACATATTTGCATATCCCATACAAATAGTTTTGGGTGGTTTGCAAACATATTTGTCGGAGCTCGTTGCTCAACATCAGCAAATGTGGCTGGCACACGAAGTGGGGTGGGTTGAATAGAAACGAACGCATCTGCATATACACACACTCACACCTGAATGGACACAAACAGCTGTACTTACAAACACATACCTGCATATACACAAACTCACACCTGCACGTTGGCACACACCTGCATACACACTCACACAATCATGTATACATATACTTGTACATTCACACACCTTTACATTCACACACTCCTGTACATACACATACCTATATATACTCACACCTGAATGTACACACACTCACACCTGCACATAAGCACACCTGCATATAAACCCACACCTGCATATAAACCCACACCTGCATGTACACACACACCTGCATACACACACACCTGTAAGTACACACACACCTGCATGTACACTCACACTTGTAAATACACATACCTGTACCTATACACATAGACCTGAACGTACACACACACCTGTACATACATACACACCCGTACATATACAAACAAAAAGACAAATAGCCTTGACAACCTCTCGCGGCAAGTGATATTATCGAGCACCTATGAAGGCCGGAACGGCATGCAAAGGGAGTGGTTGTCCAACACCGCGCCCGGCTGCCTTTGTCTCCCCAATGGCGATGTTTACACATCGCTACTGGTCCTCATTTAAGGTTGAGTCGACCAAGGGGAGGCCCAGTACCGGTTTAGATCATTGGCACGAGTGTTGGCCATGAGCAGGAATCCAAATCGGGACGCCTGGTTCGTAGTGCAGCGTATCGCTAAATATTTCTCTATCGCTACACACACACAGACCCGTAGACTCACCACACAGACACCCATAACATCTCCACGGGGAGCATAATCCAAATGTACAGCAGTAATCATCAGGGTCCGGGATCGAACCCTGCATCCTGCAAGTCCTGAGACTCCGTGATGACAATCGAGCGGTGGATAGACCACGGCTGATTTCAAATTTTATGTTCCCACCCAACTCGCCTCCCAGGTGCCCCAAAAGTCTGTTAAGGCGATATTGGGGACGTTTAGCTTTTTTACTTGTCAGCCCGGTTTCTATTCCATACACGGGCCTCCTATTCATGTCAAATTCCCTCTAAAGCAGTTTTTTTGAAACGTATTCTTTCGTGCGCAGTTTTGTTGTCCTTCCACACGCACCTCCGATTCGCGTGGTTGGCCACTTATGGTGGCAAAGAAGTTCCGCATACGCACATCCATAGAGACAAGTAGCCTCATCACACAGAGACCCATAGACTCAACACACAGAGACCTGTAGACTCATCACACAGAGACCCATATACTAACCACACAGATACCCATAGACACAACAATGAGAGACCCATAGACTCACCACACAGATTCTCATAGACACACCACACAGAGACCCATAGACTCACCACACAGAGACCCATAGACTCACCACACAGAGACCCATATACTCACCACACAGAGACCCATATACTCACCACAAAGAGACCCATAGACTCACCACACAGAGACCCATAGACTCAGCACACAGAGACCCATAGACTCACCACTGAGACCCATGTTCTAACCGCACAGATACCCATAGACACACCACGCAGAGACCCATAGACTCATCACATAGAGACGCATTTACTAACCCCACAGATACCCATAGACACACCACGCAGAGACACATAGACTGATCGCACAGAGACCCATATACTAACCACACAGATACCCATAGACTCACCACACAGATACCCATAGACTCACCACACACAGACCCATAGACTCACCACACAGAGACCCATATACTAACCACACAGATACCCATAGACACGTCACGCAGAGACCTATAGACGCATCACACAGAGTTCCATAAACTCATCACGCAGAGACCCATAGACTCTTCATGCAGAGACGCATAGACTAATCACACAGAGATCCATATACACACCACACCATAAACTCATATTGCAGAGAACCACAGACTCACCACACAGAGACCCATAGATTCACCACCCAGATACCCAGAGACACACCAAGCAAAGATCCATATACTCATCACATAGAGACTTCATTGACTCATAGACTTCAATGGCTTGAGCTTCAAGTTTGCGTTCCGGAACCGCAGGAATAACTAATGCGATCGGCCAATGTATTTGGCGAAGGACCGGATGAAAACATTGACATCGTTCATGTATATTAGGCATGTATACCATTGTAGGACTGCTAAGTCCATCTAAATTTTGAGCTGGACCATTGCCGATGGAATCTGAATGGCCATACAATTGTATACGTGACTAATATGCCAGACATAAATCCCACCTACTGAATAATTTTCCTCCCGCCAATGCGTCAAGTGTGTAATCTATACACGGTAGGGGATATGCGTCAGCAAGCCTAACAGTGCTGAGGCAGTAAAAGTCTATGCAGAATCTCAGGACTCATCTGACTTTTTTGACTAGGACCACCGGAACCTGCCATGGACTTGACGAAAAGGAAATGATGTCGGCCAGCAGCATCTTCTGCACCGCTTGCTGGTTGTGCCCTTTTTCCATAGGGCTCATCCCATATGTGTTTTGGTGCACCTCCCGTGCTGATGTTGTGCTGCAGCAGATGCGTGCATCCCCGGCTGAACACGTCGGAGAATTCGTCGACCAATGAGTGCGGCCGGTGGGTGGCAAATCTGGCCATGGCTCCGCCAGCTGGTCCATCCGCAAGTCGTCCCCCTCTATCCTCGGACTTGTCCATGCTTCCCATGAGCTCTGGCCACTTCCGAGGGATTCCCATTGAAAAGGGACTGACGTGGGCCAGAACCGTTCCCGCCCGCATTGTTGGTTGCTCTGTCCAAGGTGTTCAGCACTTGAATGGACAGATGCTGATTCCCCTGGACAATGGTCTCGGCCCCCACCAGTGCATGGCGATCGGTGATGGGACCGTCACGATGGGGGACCGATATCACGGCGGTCTCAGCAGCTGGGCTGCCGTGAGAATGGAGATAGACTCACTGACCAGAGCCTGCACGTGCTGTACCCACCGGCCAACTCCTTCCGCCTTCAGGAAATGGAGATGCGTTCCCTGGACTTGCATCCGCCAGTTGTCCAGATTGATCTTCATCGGCATTTGCCTCAGAAAGTCCGTCGCCAACAGGCGGGTCATGGACAGTGTTGTGGAGGATGTGTCCTGCTACCGACAGCTGCCCAATCTGTATAGGGGCCTCAACCTGGACCAGGAAGCTCATACTCCCTTCAATGGCCATGACGAACGCCGTCTTGGACCCCTCATTGTGGTGTGGGGTGGGCCCCCATTGCGATGTGGGTTTGGGCCCCCCATGTGATGTGCTGTGGGCCCCCCATGTGGTGCGGGGTAAGGGGTGGGTGGTGGCCCCACACGCCCCAACCGCTCAATCCTCTCTACCCGCCCCACATGCCCCACCCGCCCCAACTGCCCTTTTCGGCCACGTCTGTCTCCGCCGCATTGCTAAGGCTCTGCGGCGTGCCAGGAAGCGCGTGTGCTACCGCCGCCCCGGGGCCATTAGCGATGATGACCCACCAGCATCACCGATAAACAGCGGCATAACCTCTTGCCGCAAAGTCAATACCAGACACCGATGCCACTACTTGTCCCCGACACCACCCCTGACCCAGATGCCGCCTGCAGTGATGGCTCTGGCGCAGCTGCTGGAGATCCGTCCTGAGCTGCCGCATAGACAGTGGGGTAGTTCAGGCCCAGGGGTTTGTATTGCTGGCCCTGGTAGCGCCGTGGTGATGGGCCGACTGCTCCCTCCCATGGTGCCCACCACCTGGCCCACCGGTTGCGCCCAACCAATGTTTATGGGCCTGCAGGATCCGCGCGGCCCACAGTGAGATCCCCTCGTCGGGCGTCACCACCGGCATAACAACGCCGGCATGGCAAGCGTAGGCGGCAAGGTGCTCGACCACAAGGTTCTCGAGTGCCTCGTCAGCAGGCGAGGGAAGGCTCTCCTTGCCAACACCAGCAGTGCACCCCTGTAGGCTAGAGTTTAACTCTCTAGCCTCCACTGGCGATCCTGAAACCGTCTGAAGGCACCCTCGGCAGGTGAGTGGATTTCCCCCAAAGCCTCGTAGGCTGCCTGTAGCATGGTCTTGCTGCGCACGGGAAGGGAAGTGTAAGAGGCGAGCACATCATCATCCAGAACGGATGGCAGCGCTCGTAGCGCCTCTTCGTCGGACCATTCAACTCAGTAGTTTTATTCGTATTTTTGTAAGTGATTTGTTTACCTTTCATATACTTTGCACTCATATCGTGTGTGTATTGTGTTTGTTGTTGTTGTAAGGATCTGACCCCCATGCCCCGACTGGACGTCTGTGAAAACAAATTTAAAGCTCATCAAATTTCCTCTTCCATGCTAAACAAATAATCTGATTCTGACTAATGTCCACCAGTGGTTGAAAGGGGCGTCATTGGCGAACTTCCGTCACACATCACTGTGAAACAACACACAAAGTTACTAACTCGAGCAAGATTAATTTAATTTTAAAAAGTAAAAACCATTAAAAGTCGGCCATCTTCCAAGCAACATACAACATGCATTTTGTTTGACAATTGTTTGTTGAGTAAGAGATAATAGAACGAGAGGTATAAGCATTGTAATCAGGTACAGGCGATATCCCTCGATTCACGAACGTCTTATATTTACGAAATTTCGCGTGAACGCGATTTAGAAATGACAGACGCTGTTTTGTTTTTCGAGTAAAACTAAACCATTTATTTACTATTTTAACCAGGTGTAAGGCCCCACTACTGACCTGGGGTAGCTCTAACCCTCTCCGGTCATTCCAACATGCAGCAATTTGTTTTATTAATAGTTCTTTAAAATATATTGTTATTATTTAATCGTTGTAATATGCACGTTTTTTTATAATTTTATTACACATTTTTTGCATCCTCAAAAGTTACGAAGATGTATTGCATTTTTTTTTTCGATTTGGAATGACTGTCCGATACACCCCCCCCCCCCCCGAAGTTTAAGTATTGAACCAAACGGGTAAAGCCGTTGCGAATTACAACTTTAGTTTTACGCGCGTGAGTCTGTTTTTTAGATGTTCGAGAAACGCATCCCATTCGGTAAATTGAGCGGAACCTTGTAAATGCCATCGGTAAGGGTCACACAAATCTGCTACCCCACCCACCACCCCACCTTGAGTATAGGACTTCCTTTCACCCCCCAATCATCCGCACACTCTCTGAACACCCTACGTGACCTGTTCCCAGTCCAGGTTAAAGACCTTCCCATTCTCTTCTGCCATACAGGATCCACTGTCTAGCTCTATATAAGTGATGGTATATCATTCCCCACTTGGGTAACTGTATGATGAGTCTCTGGGTCTCTGTGTAATGAGTCTTTGAGTCCCGGTGTGATGAGTCTACTTGTTTCTATGTATTTGTACTTTGAACTTCTTTAGCAGCATAACGCAACAATCTAGACGATTTAAACGTTGCACAGCTCCACTGGTGGAAGCGTCGTGAGATAACCGAATGGAAGGGGAAAGTGATTGGACCGAACCCAGGCACGTGGGGGGGGGGGGGGGGTGCGGCTGTGACGTCACGACCTACACCAGAGCCCTGCTGACCACGACGCTGATGGCCACGCCCAGCAGGGCCAGGGTCACGTGAGCTGCGCCCAATGGGCGAGGGGCGGCGTTGACGTTGCAGCCGTCGCTCTGGCAACACGTGGTGAGCACTGTGACTCCGTTGGTGGTGCCGTCGTATTTCTTGACGGCGTCGCATGCAGCCTTGGTCACGCACTGCTTGTTGACGGCGTAGGCTGGGCAGAAGAGAAAGCACGCGGGTCTCATTGTAAGTAAAAAAAGTATGTAATTAAAAACACGTAACAAATATTTGTAATTGTTATTTTACCAGTTGTAAGCCCAGCAGAGCTGCCATGTATCCCTTTTTCAGAAGTGACCTGTACGTGTGTGTTGAACTTCTTTCGTGCCGTACATAGCCTACCGTGCTAATCTGTGGGTGTCTATGTAGCCACCACAGCGGCTAAATTGGGGCTCTGGATGGGTGCAATGGGCTGGTAACCCCTCCAGCGTCAATAAATTACCACTAAACCACGTCTAAAATATATAATTAATAAGCTTGTGCCGGAGGCCCCGAAAGAACAGGCGTCTATGATATCTCCTAGCCAAACCCCATTTGGCGGATCCAAGAGATTGAATCTTTATCCTCGGGGCTCCTTCAGAAACAACGAAAAGCCACTCCGGATGGCCACGTGGAATGTTCGAATGCTCACTGCGGAGGAGAGGCTGCCACTCCTCTGTCGGGAGCTGGACTGGTACTGCCTGGATCTCTGTGGCATTCAGGAGGTCCGGTGGACCGGCTCTGGCTCCTGCCACCATGAGGGGTGGACAGTCCTCTACTCGGAGCAGGAGACTGCCAAACAACAGGGTGTGGCTCTTTTTTTGAACATAATGAAGAGGGCGTGGGAGCGTGGCGGTGAGGTGTGGGAAGCTGTAAGCCCCAGGCTACTTTGGGCTCGCCTTCCCATCAACCGCAGGCGAGGAGTGGTGGTCGTGGTTACTTATGCCCCCACCGAAGACGAACATCCATGGAGGAATGCAGGCAAGGCCGATGAGTCAGATGCCTTCTATGACCTGTCACAGGTGCTGGCTAAAGTGGCCTCGCAATGCCCGAGTTGGTCATGATGCTGGCACCTGGTCTGGAGTGATTCAAAGGCATGGGCCAGATCAGCTCAATAACAACGGTAGGAGGCTGCTAGATTTTAAGCAGCCCATGGGCTTGTAATTACCAACATGCTGTTCTGGTATCGGCGCATCCACACAACATCATGGATGCATGCCGGGTCCAATCAAGAACATATGCTGGACTACATAGTGACGGAACAGCGGATGCGAGCCCATGTTTTTGGCACCAGGACCTACCGTGGAGCTGAACTGCCCTCTGACCATCAACTTGTCATCTGTAAGATGCGCCTGCCATTCTTCCACTCCAGTGGTGGGTGTACACCCAGGACCCAATTTCAACCTAAGGTGGCCTGGTCTCAGCTAGCTGATTAAAGTTGCAAGCGAGAATTTCATCATCGCTTGCGACTGGGGTTGGCATCGTCCCCTACTCCTCCTGATGTCGAGGGTAAATGGACGAGGTTTAGGGCTGTGACTCATGCAGCTGCAATGGCTTCTTTGGGTACGCGGTCCAGACATCCTCAGAGACCCTGGCTGACAGAGGAGGTGTTCAGGATTGTTGAAAAAAAGCGACAGGCCCACTCTAATTGTCTACAGAATTCAACGTCAGAGAATGAAGAGGCTTACCGCAGCCTTTGGTCGGAAGTTGTGGAGAGACGTGAGGCGCTGCAAGGATGGGTGGTGGTCGCAGATTGCTGAGGAAATCGAGTCTGCCTCAATGGCCCGCAATCATAAATCTCTATTTAACTCCATCAAAAAAGTAACCTGCAGCACCACACCTCTTAACATCAGGAAGAGGTTTGCAGATTTCCTGAGCATTTCTGTGAAGTCCTGGGATCGTGGAAATCCTTAGACATGAAAAACATCGTGGGACAAAGTGGGGATGACTCTGCTGAGGCTGCGGTGCCTCAAATATTTGAAGAAGTCACCCCCTGTGAGTGGCTGGCTGAGGTGCCAACTTTTGAGGAAGGCGATCCAGAGTCTGAGACCAGGAAAGGCACCGGGCAGAGATGATCTCCCAAGCGAAATGCTGAGAGAGGGTGGCGTTTGTGCACAGACTGTCCTACATTATAACAGTCTGGACCAGTGGACGGGTTCCGCAGGATTGGAAGGGTGCCCTTGTGGCCCCCCTCTTTAAGAAGGGGGACTGCACAGACTGTAACAACTACAGGGGCATCTCACTCCTCAGTGTGCCGGGAAAGATCCTGGCAGGGATTATTCAACATCGCCTTGCAAGGCCCGCTGAGGAGAGGCTTGCGGAGCCCGAAATGTGGTTTCAGGAAAGGGCGGTCCTGCAAGGATGCCATATTTCTGTCCGTTTACTACAGCAGAGGTGTAAGAAATTCCAACAATACCTACATCTCTGCTTTATTGACCTGGTCAAAACCTATGATACCATCAATAGGCCTGGGCTCTGGGTTGTTCTTCGTGCTTTTGGAGTCCCTAACCATATGCTCACGATCATTAAGGACCTTCATGATGGTGAGCAGGCCCGGGTTAAACTACGTGGCCGGGAGTCGGAGTCATTCCCTGTTCACCTTGGGGTGCGACAGGGATGTCCTCTGGCTCCCACATTATTTATCATCTTTTTCGTTCACGTAGTCCATGAAGCCTTTGATGGCTGTACAAGAGGAGTTTACATACAATGGGAGGCTGATCGATGCCCAGGTGCGGTCGAGGGGTGGCTCCCTATTGGTCAACCATGTTATGTATGCTGATGATGTGGTAATTGCCGCTCACTCAGAGGAGGAGTTGGAGGCGCTGCTGCTGAAACTGGAGCGTGCCACTAAGAGGTGGGGCCTTACCATCAGCCCCACAAAAACTAAGCCCCTGTCTGGGTATTTTGCACCATCGGATACTCCACCCCCACAACTCCCAATCAGTGATGGGGCAGTTGTGGAGAGAGTGGAGAGTTTCCATACCTGGACAGTGTGCTCATGACCTGCTCCGGTGTGACAGCAGAGGTCTCACTCAGAATCAGTCGAGCGGCATTATCTTTTCATCGGTTGCGTAATGCTGTGTGGAAGCTACCTAGTCTGTCGCTCCGCACGAAGCTTCAAGTCTTCTCGGCCACGGTCATTCCATCCCTTCCTTACGCTTACGAAACTTGGACCTCCTAATTGAGCATCTTCGTAGATTGGAAACTATTAGGCTTGCCTGCCTACGATCCATCCTGGGTTTAACCTGCAGGCTGGATTGTGTGAGGAGCTCACAAATCCTTGAAAGATCGGAACAAAGTCCCATCGGTGAGCTGCTCCGGCAGGCAAGACTGCATTGGCTGGGTCATGTAGCCCGCATGCCCAGTCACCGCGTGCCTAAATAGCTATTGTTCGGCCGGATAGAGGGGGCTAAACGGTCGTGGCATGGGCTAGAAAAAAGATGGAGTGACGTGGTACAGGAGGATGTGGAGCTGAGTAGATTTGCCGATTACTGGTAACAGTGGTGTCAATATTGCCCTCTGTGGAAGAGGCTCGTGAAGAACGCTACTGGGCAGTTGGAGGCTGTCACCCTCCAACAACAACGGAGGGCGGAGGAGCGACGCTCACAACAATGAGTGGAGCGCCGGGTGGCTAAAACACAGCAAGTTAGCACAGTAGGGGACACAGGTGGTGCATCAGCTAGTTATCTCAGTCATCGACCTGTTGTACCTGGGTCTGCCCCGTGACCTCCTGCCAGCGGGCGTTCGACACTTCACGTGGCCTCAAGGTGCACATAGCCTGGCACAAGCGTCGTTGTGACGTCAATGGCACTTAGTGGCGAATGGTGGTTGTTTTGTAGATCTCTGTATATGTATGTGTGTATGTTGCACTTCTTTTGCACCATACATAGCCCACCGTGCTAACTGCAGGTGCGCAAGGAAGGGAAACAAACTAGTTTTATGAAATGAGTGTCAATCTAGATGATGATTTAAAATTGCACAGCCCTCAGTGGCTTCCTAATATTGGAAGTAAGAGCGTTCCAGAGAGCCGCAGAAGCAACGCATCCGACAGCGCCGTGTGATGATGCTGTGGCCACCTTTGTTCGACAGCAAGCCAAAAAGCCGCTACCACAAATGGTGGCTATTATCATCGCATGAAAATGTATAGTAGCAGCCGTATACTCAAAAATGTGAAGGGGGAAAAACCGGATGACCCCAGAGAAATATGAACACATTGAGGAAGTCTCCGAATGGGATGCAAAAACCCATGAACTAATCACGTAAATAAACCCATAAACTCATCAGACCCAGAGACCCCATCGACTCATCACACGCAGAGGCCCATAGACGCACTACACAGAGACCCATATAATCACCACCCAGAGACCCCAGAGACTCATCACACACTGAGACCCATAGACTCATCACAAACAGAGGCCCCTTGAATCATCACACACACATAGACCCACAAAGGCATCACACACATAGACCCATAGACTCATCACACAGACACCCACAGACTCATCACACAGAGACCCATTGACTCAACACACAGAGACCCTTAGACTCATCACCATACAGAGACACCATAGACTCATCACCACACAGATACCCCATTAACCCATCACACACAGAGACCCATAGGCTCGCCACGCAGAGACTCCATAGACTCAAAGTACAGAGACCCCATAGACTCATCACCATACAGAGACCCATCGATTCAAAACACAGTGAGGACGGACGCGCGTCTCGTGAGTGCATCATGGGCCTGGGAGTCACTGCTGAACGAAAAGGGTCCACCCCCAACACGCGCTTTTCGAGAATAGCAACGCGCTTACAGGAGCCCTGGTAGCCTAGGATTGTCATGCAGGTGTCGTACGATGCGAGACACGTGGTGGGGCCGCCCGCGTTGCACGCAGCATTGTCGTTGTTCGTGCTGCACGAGTAGCAATCGAGGCTGTGCCCTGTATATTCACAGACACAAGACACAAGAACAACACCGATCATCATCATCATCACGGCAGACGATCATCACCTTCATCATTACGGCAGACGATCATCATCACGGCAGACGATGATCATCATCAAGCCAGACGATCATCATCACGGCAGACGATCATCATCATCACGGCAGACAATCATAATCATCATCATGGCAGACGATCATCACCATCATCATGGCAGACGATCATCATCACGGTAGACGATCATCATCACGGCAGACGATCATCATCATCATCACGGCAGACGATCACCATCATCATCATCACGGCACACGATCATCATCATCACGATAGACGATCATCATCATCACGGCAGACCATCATCATCACGGTAGACGATCACCATCGTTATCACGGCAGACGATCATCATCATCATAACGTTGCTGCACTACGAACCGGGCGACCCAAGTTTGATTCCCGCTCACGGCCACCAACACCGCAGGTGGCGATCATCTGAAGCGGTACCCTGGGGCCTCCTCCCACGAGGTCGACTCGTCCTCAAATGGGTTCCTGGTGCAGTGGTGGTGTGGAGGAAACATCGCCACTGGGGAAACAAAGGCGGCCGGGCGTGGTGCTGGCCACCCACAGCCTCGTATTTCCTTGCCGGCCGTCATAGGTGCTGCTACTCGCTAATGGCGCTTGCCCCAACAATCTGTTCAGGCCAAATGGGGGATGTTTGTCTTTGTACGTGGTGTGTACAGGAGGCTCGTTGAGGACGCCACCACTTTGGAAGCTGGAGGCAGTCGCCCATCCAACATCAAGGGAGGGCTGGTGGAGCGACGCGGGCAGATAAAACTCAGCGAGTTGGCGCAGTTGGGGGGCACAGGTGCTGCATCTGCACAGTCATCTCAGTCGGTCAATGCATGTCAACTGCGGGGTCTGTCCCCGTGACCTCCTCCTCATGCACCTAGCCTGGCACAGTAGTGAACCCATGGCACCGGCAGGGGCTGTCCGTGACCTCCTAGCCTGGCACAGAAGTCAACCTATGGCACCTGCAGGGCCGTCCGTCACCTCCCCCTGCACATAGCCTGGCACAGCAGTCAACCTATGGCACCTGCAGGGTCTGTCCCGCGACCTCTCCCTGCACCTAGCCTGGCACAGCAGTCAGCCCACGGCACCTGCTGGGTCTGACCCGAGACCCCCAGTCATCGAGCCGTCGACACTTCACTTGATAGCCTCAAACTGCACCTAGCCTGGCACAGGCCGCCGTCACCGCCACTTTGTGGCATTTTCGAACACATTTTCGCAACTCGCCGCCTGATGAAGCTGCTGATTGTTGTTGCTGTTGTAGTTGTGGCTGTTTTGGTTGTTGTGGTTGTTGGTGTGGTTGATGAAGACCGTTTGTGTTGCAATCGAAACGTCGTGGGTTTTTTTCTTTAATTATTTTCAATTTATTATTATTATTATTTTATTATTTTTGTATTTTCTTTTTCTATCTATGTTTACGTGAATTCACCGAAAGAACCAAGAGTATGAATTCCTACAGTCACGAAAGTTTTAAGTGGGAAAAAGAAGTCAACTTCTAAAGGGAATGCGAGCGTGCATACGCAGCACCAAACACGCCCAACACACAGGGTGTACCGAATAGGGCTTAACGATTTGGGGAAAATATCTAATTGCGATTTTTCTGACAGATTTATTGCGATTTGATGGAGCTTTAACACATAATACCATCAAAATATGAACTGCTCTGTATATTCTCATGCAAGGATGAGAACTTAAAAGATATTAATTGCTTTCAACATGTATTTATAGAAAAAAATGAAATATAAAAATCAAAAAGAGAACAATTTTTCAAGTTCAATAAATAAAGTTACAATAATAATAAATAAACGAGAAAAATAAGAAAGTAATAGGACTTTTCAAATCGCAAAAAATCGCAGCCTTTGCGATTTGTGATCGCATTGTTTCAAATTGCGATTTTGATTTGAAATCGATTAAACGTTCAGCCCGAGGATTACCGAAACTAAACACACCCAAAACATTAAAACGTCGAATAGCTGTGTGGCTATTGGAAATATTGCAGTGACATCGATGTAAATTATTAAATTATATGCGTTATATTTACTATGTTGTTGTAACTTGTTGTGGATATTTTTTGGGTACTGTTTCTGATATAAGTCATCTACAGCAGCAGGCATGGTCTGGGTCCGGGATCGAACCCACGTGCTCCTGTATACAAGTCGAGGTAGTTAAAATCTACACGGGGAGAGAGACACACAGAGACTCAAAATATACAGCAGCAGGCATTATCAGAGTCCTTGATCGAAGCCATGCTCCTCCTGTATACCAGGCGAAGTAGTTAACATTTCCACAGGGAGAGAGACACGCAGAATCCAAATATACAACAGCAGGCATCGTCAGAGTCCAGAATCGAACCCACGACCTCCTGTATACCAGGCGAGGTAGTTAACATCTCCAGATATCGCAGTATCGGCGTTGCTTTGATGTTGTTGCAACAACAAACAACTCGCCACGCAGAAGTTGTCTCACCTCCGCTCACGAACAGCAACGCCACGAGGAGCAGACCCGGCAGGTAGCAAGTCATGGTTAGAGTCGTGGAGCCTGGCGTTGTGGCGCTTTGGGATGGAAAGTCGGCGAGTTGAGAGAGACAGAGTTGCAGAGTCAGAGAAAGAAAGAGAGAGATATCCCTAGAGCAGTGACTGTGACTGCGTGGTGAACTGGGAGACTTTATAAGCCCCAGAGTATAATGGGATCGGGGAAGACACTCCTACAAACATATTTGCATATCCCATACAAATAGTTACGGGTGGTTTGCAAATATATTTGTCTGAACTCGTTGCTCAACATCAGCAAATGTGGCTGGCACGCGAAGTGGGGTGAGTTGCAAAGAAACAAACGCATCTGCATATACGCACACTCGCACCTGAATGTACACACACACACACCTGTACATACACACAAACACACATGCGCATACACACAACTGTACAAACACATACCTACATATACTCACACCTGCATGTACACACACACCTGCATATATATATTTACACACACAGCTGCATATGCACACACTCACACCTGCATGTACACACATAGACACCTGCATGAACACACACTTGCATATACACTCACACTTGTAAATACACATACCTGTACCTATACATCTTCTTGGTTCTTTCGGTAAAGTCATGTAGAATGGAAATAATAAAAATAATAAAATAAAACATAATGAAATAATTCTCACGACGTTTCGGCCACAACGCAAGCAGCCGTCCTCAGGTGGAGAACAGGTCTGTCGAGAAGACAGAGTCTGAATGCAGGTGTTTCGGCCACAACGCTGCTTGCGTTGTGGCCGAAACGTCTTGAGAATTATTTTATTATGTTTTATTTTTATTATTTTTATTATTTCCATTATACGTGACTTTACCGAATGAACCAAGAAGATGAATCCCTGCAGTCACTAAAGCTTTAAATCGAAATTTGTACCTATACACTCAGACCTGCACGTACACACACACCTGTACATACACACACACCTGTACATATACAAACATAAAGGCAAATATAGCCTTGGCAGACTCTCGGGGCAAGTGATATTATCGAGCACCTATGAAGGCCAGAACGGCACGCAAGGGGGTGGTTGTCCAACCCCACGCTCGGCTGCCTTTGTCTCCCCAGTAGCGATATTTATACATCGCTACAGGTCCACATTTGAGGCTGAGTCAACCTAGGGGAGGTCCTGTACCGGTGTAGATAATTGCCACTGGTGTTGGCCGTGAGCGGGAATCCATCTCGGGACGCCTGGTTCGTAACACAAAGGCCCGTAGACTCACCACACAGAGACCCGTAGACTCACCACACCGAGACCCATAGACTCATCACACAGAGACGCAGAGACGCACGACACAGAGACCCATAAACTCATGAAGCATAGACACATAGACTCCCCACACATAGTCCCATAGACACATCACACAAAGACCCATAGACTCACCACACACAGACCCATAAACTCATAAAGCAGAGAACTATAGCCTCACCACACAGATAAATGTAGACTCATCACATAGAGACCTGTAGACTCATCACACATACCACGGCTGATATTTAAGATCTGTTTCGAGAAGTGAGTTGGTGTGACATCGATGGGAGTGGCATAACTCTGATGGGAAGAGAAGTGAACTAATAAAATGCCGTGCCTGCGGGTTGGCTTTCAAAGGTTTGTGTGTATGTTGACATTTTGCAACGTATGTACGTTTAATGGCCTCGAGGGTGTCACCATGGTGTGGCAACAGTGCCGAGTGAGGAGTGGTACTCTAAGGACGGAGCCCGGGTGTCACTGAGAGAGAGGTCGCGTGAGGACGTTTACCCCGAGGTGAACCCGAGAGGGCACGTGACCGGACGAGAGGGTGCAGGTGGACCCTCAGTTGGGGGTCAGAGGATCACGTGACGGGGACCCAGAGTCCCCACGAGGGTTTGGGAAGGGGGGCGTGGCCAAGGGCAGGAGCCCGGCCACGCCAGAGCAGTTATAAGTTCAAGTTCATTTTATTAGTTCATTTTATTCATTAGGTATAGCGCGGTCCCGAGAGGGATCCCGGGGGTTCGACTCTGGGAATGATGTTGCCCAACGACTCACCACACAGAGACCCATATACGGTACTAACCACACAGATACGCATAGACACACCACGCAGATACCCATAGACTCATCACACAGAGACCCATAAATTCATCACGCAGAGACCCATAGACTCTTCACGCAGAGACCCGTAGACTCATCACACAGATCCATAAACACACCACACCATAAACTTATATTGCAGAGAACCACAGACTCACCACACAGAGACCCCTAGTTTCACCAGCCAGATACCCATAGACACACAATGCAGAGATCCATATACTCATCACATAGAGCCAATGTATTCGGCGAAGAACGGGATGAATATATTGACATCGTCCATGTATATTAGGCATGTAAACCATTGTAGGACTGCTAAGGCCAACTAAATTTTGAACTGAAAGATTGCCGATGCAATCTGAAGGCCCATACAATGGTATACGTGACTATTATACCAGACAATAAATCCCGCGTACTGAAGAATTTTTCTCCCGCCAATGCGTCAGGTGCATAATGTATGCACGGTAGGATATATGCGTCAGCAAGCATAACGGTGCTGAGGCAGTGGAAGTCTACACAGAATCTCAGTGACTCACCTGACTTTTTTACTCGGACCACCGGAGCCTGCCATGGACTTGACGAAGGGGAAATTACGTCGGCCTGCAGCATCTCCTGCACCGCTTGCTGGTTGTGCCCTTTTTCCATCGGGCTAATCCCATATGTGTTTTGGTGCAGGGGTGGGGCACCCCCCGTGCTGATGTTGTGCTGCAGCAGATGCGTGCGTCCCCAGCTGAACACGTCGGAGAACTCGCGGACCAATGAGTGCAGCCAGTGGGCGGCTAATCTGGCCATGGCTCCGCCAGCTGGTCCATCCACGCGTCGTCCCCTCTGTCCTCGGACTTGCCAACGCTTCCCACGAGCTCTGGCCATGTCCCAGAGACTCCTATTGACAAGCGACTGACATGGGCCAAAACCATTCCCGCCCGCATTGTCGGTTTCCCTGTCCGAGGTGTTCAGGACTTGAATGAACAGATGCTGATTCCCCTGGACACAATCGTCTCGGCCCGCACCATTGTGTGGCGATCCGTGGCGGCTTGCGCTGGAGACACCAGGATGGGGGAGTCCGGCTGGGACCGTCACGATGGGGGACCAATATCGCAGCGGTCTCAGCATCTGGGCTACCGTGGGAATGGAGACAGACTCACTGACCAGAGCCTGCACGTGCTGTACCCACCTGCCAACTCCTTCCACCTTCAGGAAATTGAGATGTGTTCCCTGGACTTCCATCTGACCATTGTCCAGATCGATTTTCATTTGCCTCAGAAAGTCCGTCACCAACAGGCGGGGCACGGGCAACGTTGTGGTAACAAGGATGGGTCCTGCTACCGACAACTGCCCAATTTGTATAGGGGCTTCAACTTGGCCCAGGGAGCCCATACTCCCTCCGTTGGCCACGAAGAACGTCGTCTTGGACCCCTCGTTGTGGTGCGGGGTGGGCCTCCCATGTGATGTGGGTTGGAGCCCACCATGTGGTGTGGTGTGCGCCCCCAATTTTGGTGCGGGATGGACCCCTGATTGTGGTGCAGGGTGGGCTCCCCATTGTGGTGCGGGGTGGGCCCCCCATTTGATGTGGGGTGGGCCCCACATATGATGTGGGGTGGGTCTCCCATGTGGTGTGGGCCCCCCATTGTGGTACAGGGTGTGGGTGCCCCACCAGCCCCACCCGCCCAAACCGCCCCACCCGCCCAAACCGCGCCACCCACCCCACCCACCCCACCCGCCCCACCCGCCCCACCTGCCCTTTTCAGGCCACGTCTCGCGCCACCACATTTGCGAGGGCGCGGCGGTGCGCGAGAAGGCCCTCCGGCGTGCCAGTGAGCATGTGTGCTATTGCCGCACCGGGGGCATTGGCCCTGGCTACCCACCGCCGTTCCCGATAAACAGCGTCGACACTTCCCGTGGCGAAGTCCTCACCGGGTCCCGACGTCACCCCCGGCCCAAACGCCACCACCCGCCCCAACGCAACCTCGGGACCCGACTCCACCCCCGGCTGCGATGCCACCCGCAGCGATGGCTCCGACTCAGCTGCTGGAGGTCCGTCCTGAGCTGCCGCGTAGACAGCACGCTGGCGGCGGTTCAGGCCTGGCGGTTTGTGTCGCTGGCCCTGGTAGCGCCGTGGTAATGGGCCGACTGCTCCCTCCCGCGGTGCCGACCACCTGGCCCACCAGTCGCGCCCAACTCATGGCCTGTTTATGGGCCTGCAGCATCCAGGCGGCCAACAGTGAGATTCCCTCGTCCGGCGTCACCACCGGCATAACAACTCTGGTGCAACAAGCGTAGGCGGCAAGGTGCTCGACCACGAAGTTGTCGAGTGCCTCGTTGGCCAGGCGAGGGAAGGCTCTCCTTGCCAACACCAGCAGTGCACCCCTGTAGGCTAGAGTTTAACTCTCTAGCCCCCCAATGGCGGGCCTGAAACCGTCTGAAGGTGCCCTCGTAGGCTGCCTGTAGCGTGGTCTTGCTGCATGCAAGAAGGGAGGTGTAAGAGGCGAGCACATCATCCAGAACGGATGGCAGTGCTCGTAGCGCCTCTTCCTCCGACCATTCGACTCAGTAGTTTTATTCGTATTTTTGTAAGTGATTTGTTTACCTTTGCTATACTTTGCACTCATATCGTGTGTGTGTTGTGTTTGTTGTTGTTGTAAGGATCTGACCCCCATGCCCCGACTGGACATCTGGGAAAAACACATTTAATGCTCATCAAATTTCCTCCTCCATGCTAAATAAATAATCTGATTCTGACTGATTTCCACCAGTGGTTGAAAGGGGCGTCATTGGTGAACTTTCGTCACACATCACTGTGAAATAACACACAAAGTTACCAACTCGAGCAAGATTAATTTAATTTCAAAAAGTAAAAACCATTAAAAGTCGCTCATCTTCCAAACAACATACCGCATGCATTTTGTTTGACAATTGTGTGTTGAGTAAGAGATAATAGAACGAGAGGTAGAAGCATTGTACTCAGGTACAGGCGATATCCCTCGATTCACGAACGTTTCGATTTACGAAGTTTTGCGTGAACGCGATTTAGAAATGACAGACTGCTGTTTTGTTTTTCGAGTAAAACGAAACCATTTATTTAATATTTTAACCAGGTGTAAGGCCCCACTACTGACCTGGGGTAGCTCTCACCATCTCCGGTCATTCCAACATGCAGCAATTTGTTTTTTTAATAGTTCTTTCAAATGTATTGTTATTATTAAATTGTTGTAATATTCAGGTTTTTTAAAATAATGTTATTACACTTTTTTTGCATCCTAAAAAGTGGCAAAGATGTATTGCAATTTTTTTTTCCCGAGTTGGAATGACTGTCCGATACAATTCCCACAAGTTTTAGTATTAAACCAAATGGGTAAAGCCATTGCGAATTACAAATTTAGTTTTACGCGCGTGAGTCTGTTTTTAAATCCTTTATATTAAGTTCACTTGCTTGCTTGCTTGCGTGCTTGCGTGCTTGCTTGCTTGCTTACGACCGTGCAAATCTTTAGGTCGTTTTTTAACCCACTTCCCGTGATCCAATCGAGCTGACATTTTGCACACAGACTCATTGTGCGTGACAATACATTTTCGTGAAAAAAAAATTCCAAAATTTTACACTGTTTAGGGAATTTTTTTAAAATTATTTATATACCAATTGCTTAATGGTGGCAGACAATCATCTGACCCATAGGTGGCAGCCATCTCAAGCCAGAGGACGAGAAGACTCTCGCCGCCCGTTTCATGATGACGCAAATGTTGACTAACCACATGGCATGAAATCCCTGCTCCCACGCTGTACAATGGAGACTATTTATAGAGCAGTTAAATTGAAGCCGCCAGGTTCTTGAAAGTGGTAAAACGGGTCAACGCTAGTGCCCTCGGGAATATACGGGCATGTCAAGAGGTGATCTTACATATAAAGGATTTATAGTGAAAAACTTTGTTTTTACGGGTTAATTTTTTTAGATGTTCGAGAAGCGCATCCCATTCGGCAAATCGAGTGGAACCTTGCACATGCCATTGGTAAGGGTCACACAAATCTGCTACCCCACCCACCACCCCACCCTTGAGTATAGGATTTCCTTTCACCCCCCAATCATCCGCACACGCTCTGAACACCCTGCATGACCTGTTCCCAGTCCAGGTTAAAAACCTTTCCATTCTCCTCTGCCATACAGAATCAACTGTCTGGCTCTCGATAAATGATGGTATATCATTCCCCACTTGGGTATCTGTGTATTGAGTCTATGGGTCTCTGTATGATGAGTCTATGGGTCTCTATGTGGTGAGTCTATGGGTATCTGCGTGACGAGTCTACTTGTCTCTATGTATGTACAAACGTACGTTGAACTTATTTAGCAGCGTATCGCAACAATCTAGACCAGGGGTCGGCAACCTACGGCTCCGGAGCCGCATGCGGCTCTTTACGGGCTGCTTCTTGACGATATGTACGTATGTACAGTATGTACTCAGATGCATTGCGGCTCTTGAAATACTGAATTTTGTACCGAATTGGAAAGAAATGGCTCTTCTTGTTATTTTGGTTGCCGACCCCTGATCTAGACGATTTAAACGTTGCACAGCTCCCCTAGTGGAAGCGTTGTGAGACAACCGAGTGGAAGGGGAAAGTGATTGGACCGAACCCAGGCACGTGGGGGCGGGGGAGGGGCGGCTGTGACGTCACGACCTACACCAGAGCCCTGCTGACCACGACGCTGGTGGCCACGCCCAGCAGGGCCAGGGTCACGTGAGCTGCGCCTAGCTGGCGAGGAGCGGCGTTGTAGTTGCAGCCATCCCACTGGCAGCACGTGATAATCGCGTGTCCGTTGGAGATGACGTCCATTATGTCGAGGGCTTTGCATTCGGCCATGTTGTAGCACTTCTTGGTGATGAAGAAGGCTGGGCGGAAGAGAAAGCACGCGCGTTTCATTGTAAGTAAAAAATATATAATTAAAAACACGTAGAAAACTATTTTTATTTGTTATTTTACCAGGTGCAAGCCCCGCTGAGCTGCAATGTAGCCCTTTTTCATAAGTGACCTCTTAAGTGTGTGTACTTATTTCGTACCGTATGTAGCCATCCGTTCTAATCTGGTGGGTCTCTGTAGTTCTTTATGGGTGTGTGTGGGTCTCTGTATATGTTTGTGTGTGTTAAGCTTCTTTCGTGCCGTATGTAGCCATCCGTTCTAATATGTGGATGTCTGTACGTCTCTATGGATGTGTGTGGGTCTCTGTATATATATGTGTGTGTTAAGCTTCTTTCGTGCCGTATGTAGCCATCCGTTCTAATATGTGGATGTCTGTACGTCTCTATGGATGTGTGTGGGTCTCTATATGTTTGTGTATGTTGAACTTCTTTCGTGCCGTATGTAGCCATCCGTTCTAATATGTGTGTGTCTGTACGTCTATATGGGTGTGTGTGGGTCTCTGTATATGTATGTGTATGTTGAACGTCTTTCGCACCGGATGTAGCCATTCATTGTAATCTGTGGGTCTCTGTAGGTCTTTATGGGTGTGTGTGGGTCTCTGTATATGTTTGTGTGTGTATGTTGAACTTCTTTCGCACCGTATGTAGCCATTCGTTGTAATCTGTGGGTCTCTGTAGTTCTTTATGGGTGTGTGTGGGTCTCTGTATATGTGTGTGTGTATGTTTAAATTCCTTCGCACTGTACATCGACCACCGTGCTAATTGCAGGTGCGTGGGGAAGGAAAACAAACTAAAAAACAATAATCTGTTTAAGAAATGAGTGTCAATTTAGATGAACATTTAAAAGTGAATAGCTCCCAGTTGCTTCCTATTATTGGAAGGAAGAGCGTTCCAGATGGCTGCTGAACCAGCGCATCTGAAAGCGCCGTGCGATGATGCAGTGGCCATCTTTGTTCGACAGCAAGCCAAAAAGCCGCTACCACAAACGGTGGCTGATATTGTCACCATTGTCATTGCGTGAAAATGTATAGCAGCAGCCGAATACTCAGAACGCCATAACGTCAATTCTAAAATGTGGAGGGGGAAAAACCGGAGGACCCCCGAGAAATATCAACACATTGGGGACGAGTCTCTGATTGGGATGCAGAAACCCATGAACTCATCACGTAAATAAACTCATAGACTCATCAGACACAGAAACCCCATAGACTAAAATTGTATTTAAAACTTTCGTGACTGCAGGAATTCATATTTTTTGGTTCTTTCGGTAAAGTCACATAGATATAAAACAACAAAATAAAAATGTAAATCTTCTTGGTTCTTTCGGTAAAGTGACGTAGAATGGAAATAATAAAATTATTATAAAACGTATAAAAATAGTATTTTATTATGGTAATAAAATAATAAATTATGTTAATAAAATAATAAACATAATAAAATATTATTTTATTATGTTTTATTTTTATTATTTTATTATTTCCATTCTACGTGACTTTACCGAAAGAACCAAGAAGATAAATCCCTGCAGTCACGAAAGCTTTAAATCGAAAAAAAAAATGTTAAGTAAAAAAAACTCACGACGTGTTGATCACAACACAAGCAGTTATCATCACGCGGAGAGAAAAGGGGGGCAAGCCTTCAACTGCAGCTGTTTATAAAGGCTTGAAATGGGCATAGCCCAAGTGTCAGAAGGAGTGGTGACAAGTGCTGCGGCGCAGCATGAACGAACGACCTAGTGCATAGCGGCAAGCTCAGCTGGCCGCTCAGCAGCATGGGTGGGGGCAGCCAATGCTAATTTTCTCTCCGCCTGATGACGACTGCTCAATCAATCAATTTCGTGTAAGCCAGCCGCATTAAAATTATGATCAGCTACGGCAGAAGTATTGGTCCCACCGTGTTTGAAATATGCCTTATGTTCACGAACACGGTCCGAGACATGTCGCTTATTTTCCCCAATGTAACTGCTGCCGCAGATACAGCTTAGTTTGTAGACACCGGGATATTATATGTCAGGAATCTTGTCCATCACAGATGGGATCAGATCACGGATTTTATGTACTGTGTTCAATCGGACCTGGATCTTGTGTTTGTTCATGATTTTGGAAATCCTTTTGGTTACCCGTGCTATGTATGGGAAGGTGATGGTTTTGATTGTATCTTCAGATGATTCCTTCCTCACGGTTGGGGTGATGGCTTTGCGGATTGTGGAGTCAGAATATTAATTCGCCTTGGGAGCTTGGTGTACTTATTTGAGTTCACTGGTTAGGTGTTCATAGTTGGAAATACATGAAAGAAGACGGTTATAAACTCAGCAATCATTGGAAAAATGTCATCAACCACTTTTGGTCATGACATCATTGGTAATTTCTTGTCAACCTCCCCCATCAAAAATGTGGATGTGTGGAGCGAGGTGCAATGCCCCCCATCTCTACCCCCTCTCTCCCCCTATCTCTCCCCCCCCTCTTTCTCCCCCTAGCTCTGCCCCCCTTTCTCTTCCCCTTTGTCTTATCTTGCATTAGCATTGGCTGCCCCGCCCATGCTGCTGACACACTTGGACTGCGCCGCTCAGCACCAGCTCGTCCATTCATGCTGCCCCACAGCACTTGTCCCCACTCCTTCTGACACTTGGGCTACGCCAATTTAAAGCCTTTATAAACAGTTGCAGTTGGAAGCTTGGCCCCCTTTTCTCTCCGCCTGATGACTATCGCTTGTGTTGCGATCGAAACGTTGTGAGTTTTATTTTTATTTATTTTGTTGTTTTCCATCTACGTGACTTTAACGAAAGAACCAGAGAATATGAACCCCGTAGACTCATCACACAGAGACCCATAGACTCACCACACAGAGACCCATAGACTCACCATACAGAGACCCATAGACTCAATCACACACATAGACCCATAGACTCGCCACACCAGAGACCCCATAGACTCAAAACACAGTGAGGGCGGACATGCGTCTTGCGAGTGCATTATGTGCCTGGGACTCACTGCTGAACGCAAGGGGTCCACCCCCAACCCGCGCTTTGCGAGAATAAACGACGCACTTACTGGAGCCCTCGTAGGCGACTATTGACCCGCAGGCGTTATGCGAGCTGTCGGAACACTGAATTGGGCCGCCCTCGTTGCACACCGTATTGTTGGAGGTCGGCCTGCATGAGTAGCATTTTATGCTGTGCCCTGTATATAATCACAGACGCAAGACACAAGAACAATACCGATCATCATGATCATCATGGCAGTCGATCATCATGGCAGACAATCATCATTATCATCACGGCAGACGACCATCATCATCATCACAGTAGACGATCATCATCACGGCAGACGATCATCATCACGGCAGACGATAATCATCATTATGGCAGATGATTATCATCATCACGGCAGATGATAATCATCATCACGGCAGACGATAATCATCATCACGGCAGACGATCATCATCACGGCAGACGCTAATCATCATAACGGCAGATGATTATCATCATCACGGCAGATGATAATCATCACGATAATCATCATCACGGTAGACGATCATCATCACGGCAGATGATTATCATCATCACGGCAGATGATTATCATCACCAAGGCAGACGATAATCATCATCACGGCAGATGATTATCATCATCACGGCAGACGATAATCATCACGGCAAACGATAATCATCATCACGGTAGACGATCATCATCACGGCAGATGATTATCATCATCACGGCAGATGATTATCATCACCAAGGCAGACGATAATCATCATCACGGCAGATCATTATAATCTTCACAGGCAGACGATCATCATCATCATCATAACGCTGCTGCACTACCAACCGGGCGACCTGAGTTAGATTCCCGCTCACGGCCACCAACACCACAGGTGGCGGTTATCTGAAGCGGGACCCTGGGGCCTCCTCCCACGAGGTCGACTCGTTCTCAAATGGGTAACCTGATGCAATGGTGGTGTAGAGGAAACATCGCCACTGAGGAGACAAGGGTGGCCGGGCGTGGTGCTGGCCAACCACCGCCTCGTGTGTCAATGCCGGGCTTCGTAGGCGCTGCTACTCGCTAATAGCGCTTGCCTCAACAGCCTGTTCAGGCGAAACGGAGGATGTTTGACTTTGTACGGGATATGTGCAGGGTTTATGTAGGAGTCTCGTGAAGGATGCTCCCACTTTGGTAGTTGGAGGCAGTCGCCCATTGACAACAATGGAGGGCAGGTGGAGCGACGCTCACAACGACGAGCAGAGCGCCGGGCAGATAAAACGCAGCGGGTTGACACAATTGGGGGGTACAGGTGGTGCATCTGTACAGTCATCTCTGTCAGTCAACGCATGTTTAATGACATTGAATGAGATTGGTAGACAATGGAATTAGGGGTAGCAGCCCGTTCTACCAGTTGGACCCGTGGGCCACGCCCGGAGCGTTCTGGGGGATCCAGAAGGGTGCGTGGCCGAGGGCGGAGCCTGGCCACGTTGGGGAGAATAAAAGGTGAGCTCCGACTCACAGTCGGGGCTTCTGCCAACGGGAATGGAACTCATCATGCTGCTGTCGTCGTGGTCTTCGCCTATTCAAGCTGTGGTTCTAGAAGCATGTTGGCTGTCCCGACCCGGCATGGAGTTATCCCCTTTGGCCTCCTACTAGTGTCTCTTAATTAGTACACTACACATGTCACCTGCATGGTCTGTCCTGTGACCTCCCACTGCACCTAGCCTGGCACAGCAGTCAACACATGGCACATGCAGGGTCTGTCCCCGTGACCTCCTCCTCATGAACATAGCCTGGCACAGTAGTCAACCCATGGCACCTGCTGGGTCTGTCCCGTGACCTCCCCATGCATCTAGCCTGGCACAGCAGTGAACCCATGGCCCATGCAGTGTCTGTCCCGTCACCTCCTCCTGCAACTAGTCTGGCACAGCAGTCAACCCACAGCACCTGCTGGGTCTGACCCGAGACCTCCAGTCAGCAAGCCTTTGACACTTCACGTGATAGCCTCAAAGTGCACCTAGCCTGGCACAGACCGCCATCACCGCCATTTAGTGGCATTAGCGAACACTGAGCTACACACGTGTAGTGTCGTGAATACAGCCACAGTACTGGAGGACCGGACGGGTGCCCCGATTGGACGAGCTAAGGGCACGTGACTGGAAGTTGTGTCTCGATTGGAGGAGTTAAGGACACGTGGCCAGAAGCGGGGGCGCCGTCCTTGATACAGCAAGGGCCGGGGCCGGGGCCAACGGATTAAAGGGGAGCCCGTTTCGACGATCAAGCTAAAACACACGCGCGCATAGTGAACGGCCTAGGACAAGTTAGCCACACTTAGCAACAGAATCCGGTGTACAGTGAATTGTTTTCAAGTTCAAGTTCATTTATTAGGTATAGCCCTGTGAGCCATTCGGCTCTTGAATCGGGTGCAACCGCAACAAACAAAAAACAAAAACATCTTAAAGTGAATATGTGACTAAGTGCAAACAGAAATTCCAAGAAAAGACGGCAAAATATTGCAGAAAAAAACACTGTACACCAACGCTGTGTGCTAAAATCCCAGTGGGATGCAAGTCAAACAACAACAACAACCATAAGACAACTTAGATTAAGGCCATCAGTCTAACTCTGTACTACAACAAACAAACATGGCTAAACCAATACACTAAACACGTTGCCTATTACAACGGTGTGTGTGTGCCTCAGTCGACATACACGACACATGTAGCCTCAGTGGCGCCTTACCCCTGGTACAATGAAAAAATATAGTGAGTGAAGTTAATATGAAAAAATGTAAAAATAAAAACGGACCGAGAAACCGCGGAGTCAAGACGAAACACAATTGATGAATGTTTCAACGCTTCGACTTGCAGTCTTTAACGAAAAGAGAAGTCCTAAACTTAATTTCAAGAGGTAATGCGAGCGTGCATACGCAGAACCAAACAAGTCCAACACACAGGGTGCACCGAAACTAAACACCCCGAAAAATTAAAACGTCAAATAACTGTGTCGATATTGGAGATACTGCGACAACGTCGATGTAAATTATATGCGTTCGATTTACTACGTAGTTGTAACTAATATTGATTGGGTACTTTCTGATTCTAATATAATGACAAGTCTGGTCATGTACAGCAGCAGGCATCGGCAGGGTCAGGGATCGAACCCACGTGCTCCTGTATACAAGTCAAAGTGGTTAACATCTCCACGGAGAGAGAGAGACACACACAGAGACTCCAAATATACAGCAGCAGGCATCGTCAGGGTCCGGGATCGAACCCACGACCTCCTGTATACCAGGCGAGGTAGTTAACATCTCCACAGGGAGAGAGACACGCAGAATCCAACGAAACAACAGCAGACATCGTCAAGAGTCCAGAATCAAACCCACGACCTCCTGTATACCAGGCGAGGTAGTTAATATCCCCACAGGGAGAGAGACACGCAGAATCCAAATATACAACAGCAGGCATCGTCAGGGTCCAGATCGAACCCACGACCTCCTGTATACCAGACGAGGTAGTTAACATCTCTATGTATTGCAGTATCAACGTTGATGTGGTGTGGCAACAACCTCAACTCGCCACTCAAAAGTTTTCCCACCTCCGCTTACGAACAGCAACGACACGAGGAGCAGACCAAGCAGGTGGCAAGTCATGGTTAGAGTCGTGGAGCCTGGAGTTGTGGCGCTTTGGGATGGAAAGTCGGCGAGTTGAGAGAGACAGAGTTACAGAGTCAGAGAGAGAGAGATATATCCCTGGAGCGGTGACTGCGTCTGCGTGGTGAACTGTGAGACTTTATAAGCCCCAGAGATTAATGAGATCAGGGAAGACACTCCTACAAACTCATTAGCATACGGCCTACAAACAGTTGGAGGTGGTATGCAAATATATTTATCGGAGCTCGTTGTTCAATCGCCGCAAATTTGTCTGGCACACGAAGTGGAGTGTGGTGGGTGCGGTGGGTGGCTATCGCCACGCGCTCACGGCCGCCTTTATCTCTCCCCACCATTCGGCTCTTGAATCGGGTGCAACCGCAACAAACAAAAAAACTAAAACATGAACAACAAAACATCTTAAAGTGACTGTGCAAAAAGAAAATCCAAGAAAAGACAGCAAATTATTGCAGAAAAAGCACCGTACACCAACACTGTGCAAAAATCCCAGTGGGATGCAAGTCAACAACAACCACAAGACAACTTAGATTAAGGCCATCAGTCTAACTCTGTACTACAACAAACAAACATGACTCACACCTGAATGCACACAAACCTGTACATATACCCACACACACCTGCATGTAAACACACCTGCATATACACTCACACATGCATGTTCACACACGTGTACATACAAACACTCACACACACGTACATACATATGTTGCGTTGTAGACGGAGGTACTCGGAGACGGAGGTTGAGTTAGGGGCTTCCGCCAGGGTTTATTAACACTTATCACTATCCCTGGTTCCCTCTTTACCCCTTCCACTATCCCCGTTTTTCCAGTGACCCCGCTTACGTCACGGGGTCTCCCTTAAGTACCCTCGGAGGGGTGACGTCACGTGCACTGCTCAGCGCGTGCGACCCCACGTCCCGTGAGGTCACCGCACCGGACAGCGCACACGACGCCACCACTCTCCTCTACTCCTCTACACATACAAGCACCTGTATGTGCACACACCTGCATATTCTCACACTTGCATGTACGCACACACACGCATATATACACAATCACACCTGTACATATCCACACACTAAGACAAATACAAAGATGCCTCTATAGTCTTAACATACTGTAGGGGCAAGTGCTGTTAGCGAGCACCTATGAATGCCGGGACGGTACACGAGGGGGTGGGTGGCCAGCACCATGCCCGACCGCCTTTGTTTCCCCTGTCGCGATGTTTACACACCGCACCAGGTGCTCATTTGAGCCTGAGTCGACCTAGGGGAGGCCCAGGACAGATTCAGATAATCGTCACTGGTGTTGGCCATGAGCAGTAATCGAACCCGGGTCGCCAGGTTGATAGCGCACACACTCATACATGCATGAGCACACACCTACGTATACACTTATACCTGAATAAAAACACACGCCTGCACATACACAAACACCTGCAAAAACAAACACTCCTGCATGTACACATACCTGTACATATACACACACCTCTTCATACACACACCTGTACATACACGTACACCTGTTAATACACACGTACCTACATATACACACCTGCATGTACACACACTCACACTTGCATGTACACACGCACACTTACATATGCACACACACACCTGCATATACACGCAAAACACACCAACATATACAACAACCGCCATTCGCCACTAAGTGGCGGTGACGTCACCACGACGCTTGTGCCAGGCTATGTGCACCTTGAGGCCACGTGAAGTGTCAAACGCCCGCTGGCAGGAGGTCACGGGGCAGACCCAGGTGCCACGGGTCGACTGACTGAGATGGCTGGCTGATGCACCGCCTGTGCCCCCTACTGTGACTACTTGCTGTGTTTTAGCCACCCGGCGCTCTGCTCGTTGTTGTGAGCATCGCTCCTCCGCCCTCCGTTGTTGTTGGAGGGCGACTGCCTCCTCCGCAGAGGCTGATCTTGACACCACTGGTACCAGTCATCGGCAAGTCCACTCAGCTCCACATCCTCCTGTACCACATCACTCCATCTCTTTTCTAGCCCGTACTATGCCCGTTTAGCCCCCTCGATCCAGCCGAACAAAAGCTGTTTAGGCATGCGGTAATTGGGCATGCGGGCTACATGGCCCAGCCAACGCAGCCTTGCCTGCCAAACGAGCTCACCGATGGGACATAGTCCAGGATGAGTTTGAGGTGCTGCTGCTGAAACTGGAGTGTGCCACTAAGAGGTGGGGCCTTACCATCAGCCCCACCAAAACTAAGCACCTGCCTGGGTATTTTGTACCATCGGACACTCCCCTCCCACAACTCCCAATCGGTGATGGGGCAGTTGTGGAGAGAGTGGAGAGTTCCCCATACCTGGGCAGTGTGCTCATGATCGGCTCCGGTTTAACAGCAGAGGTCTCACTCCGAATCAGTCGAGTGGCATTTATTTTATTCGGTTGCGTAACGCTGTGTGCAAGCTACCTGGTCTATTGCTCCGCACGAAGCTTCGGGTCTTCTCGGCCACAGTCATTCCCTCCCTAGATATACACACACACTCACACCTGCATGTACACACACCTGCATATACACACTTACATGTAAACACACACTTGTACATAAACACACACACACACATGTATATACACCAACCTGTACAGGGTGCCACATGTCGGCCTGAAGGGGTAATTGTGGTTATGGGCATGTTACGTAATGTCGAATTATGAGTTGGGCGTATCTGGGATAAAGGTGAAAGGCGGAGTCAGTCCAGAAGCTCCGGGAACCTGCTCATAGGATGTCCTTTAAAGTCCATATCCTTGATGCTCATCTTGACACATTCAAGGAGAACATGGAAGCGTACTCGGAGGAGCAAGGCGAGCGCTTCCACCGGGATATACTGGACTTTAAACGCCGATACAAAGGACAATATGACGAGAACATGATGGGAAACTACATTTTGGGGCAGATTCGTGAAAGTGATTTACAGGATAATCATAAATCTCGAAAAACTACTCATTTCTAAATCTTTTGTAGTCATCTTTGTATTACTTTAGTATAAGTACATGTTAATTTAGATTCATACGTTGTTTTTGTCTGATTTTATGTGAACTAAATACACAAATTCGTCCTGTTTTCTCCTTAGGTAAATTTCCCAATATTACTTTCCTGGTCACAAAAGCAAAGTTTGTGGGAAACAATAGCCATTTTCTATACTTTTTAGACATAAGCAATTACGAAATATCACTTACTACCCAGGAAAAATGTTTTTGTTTCATAGTGTCATCATCCAGAACGGATGGCAGTGCTCGTAGCGCCTCTTCATCCGACCATTCGACTCAGTAGTTGTATTCGTATTTTTGTAAGTGATTCGTTTACCTTTCCTATACTTTGCTCTCATATCGTGTGTGCATTGTGTTCGTTGTTGTTGTAAGGATCTGACCCCCGTGCCCCGCCTGGACGTCTATGAAAAAGACATTTATAGCTCATCGAATTTCCTCATTCAACCTTAATGAATAATCTGATTCTGACTGATTTCCACCACTGGTTTACAAGGGGCGTCGTTGGCGAATTTTCGTCACACATCACTCTGAAATGACAGACAATGTTGCCAACTCGAGCAAGATGAATTTAATTATAAAAAGTAAAAACATTAAAAGTCGCCCATCTTCCAAGCAACATACTGCATGCATTTTGTTTGACAATTGTGTGTTGAGTGGGAGATCATAGAACAACAGATATATGCATTGTAATCAGGTACAGGCAGATATACCTCGATTCATGAACGTTTCGGTTACGAAGTTTCACGTGAACGCGATTTACAAATGACAGACGCTTTTTGTCTATCGAGTATAACTAAACCATTTATTTAATATTGTAACCAGGTGTAAGGCCCCACCACTTTCAGAATCGACCTGCGCCATCACAAACGATGGCAGCTAAAACCAAGTGGCATGACGTCATCATCATCATCACATGCAAATATCTAGCAGCAGGCAAATAACTCTGAACTGCCATTGGAACCTCATTTGCCATGTGAGACTAGGCTCTAAGGAAAGCTGTCTCGGGTGTGGACCAATCAACTTGAAGGACAGTGCACATTATCAGAGTTGTGTTTTTTGTTTGCATTATGACTGCAGGTATTGTGGTCTATGCAAACATGACTCCTTGTAATAAGGTGTCAGTTTTGTTGCCAGATGGAAGGGTAAAAAAACATTATCAACTCTGAACGCGTTGTGATGTTGATTCGAAATGTGAAGGGGAAACATCGGAGGAACACGGAGAGAGAGACACGCAAACTCGAAATACAGCAGCAGGCATCGTCAGGGTAAGGATCGAACTCACAACCTCCTGTAGACCAGGCGAGGAAGTTAACATCTCCCAAGCCACCGTGGTGCAATCAACAAAATCGAATTTCTGCGTAATCGAATTTCCTACGGCACTCGCCCATCGAACGAGAAAGCCACCCGGGAGGCTGCGTCATCGGACTTCTGTGACAAAGAGCTTCGTAGGTCATCAGATTTCCTCCCGTCTAGATAAAGATTCTGATCCGCGACAGTATTATAGTGTCCCTATATAGTGCAACGGTAACGGTCTCCACATCACCCTATCCAACCATTAGAACATGCAGCAATTTGTTTCATTAATAGTTCTTTCAAATGTATTATTTAAAAATTTTATATTCACGTTTTTTATAATGTTATTACATCTTCTTGGTTATTTCGGTAAAGTCACGTAGAAGGGAAGTAATAGAATAATAAAAATAAAACATAATAAAACTAATTCTCACGACGTTTCGGCCACAACGCTGTCTTCCCCAACAGACCTGGTCTTCACCTGAGGACGGCTGCTTACGTTGTGGCCGAAATGTCGTGAGAATTATTTTATTATGTTTTTATTTCATAATTTTTTTATTTTACTTTTATTAATTAAAATTTTTTACCTACGTGACTTTACCGAAAAAACCTAAGAATATGAATCCTTGCAGTCACGAAAGCTTCAAATCTAGAATATTATGTTTTATTTTTATTATTTTATTACTTCCCTTCTACGTGACTTTACCGAAAGAACCAAGAAGATGAATCCCTGCAGTCACGAAAGCTTTAAATCGAAATGTTATTATACTTTTTTTTGCACCCTCAAATGTGACAAAGGTGTATTGCAATTAAACCAAATGGGTAAAGCCGTTGCGAATTACAAATTTAGTTTCACGCGCGTGAGTCTGTTTTTAGTTGTTAGAGAAACGCATCCCATTCGATACATCGAGTAGTACCTTGTACATGCCATTGGAAGGGTCACCGAAATCTGCTACCCCACCCACGACCCCACCCTTGAGTATAGGACTTACTTTCACCCCCCAATCATCTGCACACACTCTGAACACCCTCCGTGACCTGTTCCCAGTCCAGGTTAAAGACCTTTCCATGATCTTCTGCCCTACGGGGATCCACTGCCTGTTTCTCTATAAATGATGGTATATCATTCCTCACTTGGGTATCTGCGTGACGATTCCATGTGTTTCTGTGTGATGAGTCTATGGGTCTCTATGTGGTGAGTCTATGGTTCTCTGCGTGACGAGTGTACTTGTCTCTATCTTTGTCCATACGTACGTTGAACTTCTTTAGCAGCGTAACGCGACAATCAAGACGATGTAAACGTTGCACAGCTCCACTGGTGGAACCGTCGTGAGACAACCGAGTGGAAGGGGAAAAGTGATTGGACCGAACCCAGGCACGTGGGTGGGGGGGGTGCGGCTGTGACGTCACGAGCTACACCAGAGCCCTGCTGACCACGACGCTGATGGCCACGCCCAGCAGCGCCAGGGTCACGTGAGCTGCGCCCACCGGGCGAGGGGCGGCGTTGACGTTGCAGCCGTCGCTCTGGCAGCACGTGGTGCTCAGCGTGGCTCCGCTGTAGGTGGCGTCGAAAACTTTGATGGTGTCGCAATAGGTCTTGGGGAGGCAACTCTTGGCGATGACGTAGGCTGGGCAGAATAGAAGGCACGCGGGTCTCATTGTAAGTAAAACATTTTTCATTAAAAACACGTGAAAATATATTTGTAATTGTTATTTTACCAGGTGTAAGCCCCGCTGAGCTGTCATGTAGCCCTTTTTCAGAAGTGACCTGTACGTGTTTGTTGAACTTCTTTCGTTCCGTACGTAGCCAACCGTGCTAATCTGTGGGTGTCTATGAGTCTGTTATGGGTGTGTGTGGGTCTCTGTATATGTTTGTGTGTGTATGTGTGTATTTTGATCTTCTTTAGCACCGTATGTAGCCATTCGTTGTCATCTGTGGGTTTCTGTAGTTCTTTATGGGTGTGTGTGGGTCTCTGTGTATGTATGTGTGTATATGTTGCACTTCGTTCGCACCATACATAGCCCACCGTGCTAATTGCAGGTGCTCGGGGAAGGAAATCAAACTATAACACAAACATCTATTTTAAGAAATGAGTTTCAATCTAGATGATGATTTAAAAGTGCATAGCTCTCAGTGGCTTCCTAATATTGTAAGGAAGAGCGTTCCAGATGGCCACAGAATCAGAGCATCCGAAAGCGCCGTGCGATGATGCAGTGGCCACCTTTGTTCGACAGCAAGTCAAAAAGCTGCTACCACAAACGGTAGGTTGATATCAACATTATCATGACGTGAAAATGGAGAACAGCAGACAAATACTCAGAACGCCGTGACGTCAATTTGATAATGTGAAGGGGGAAAAACCGGAGGACCCCCGAGAAATATCAACACATTGGGGAAGAGACCCATAGACTCATCACACACAGAGACTCCTAGGATCATCATACACACAGAGACCCATAGACTCATCACACACAGAGACCCTTAGACTCATCACACACAGAGAGACCCAAATAAGCATCATACACAGAGACCCATAGACTCACCACGCAGAGACCCATAGACTCCCCGCACAGAGACCCCATAGACTCATCGTGCACATAGATCCATAGACTAATCACTCACAGAGACCCATAGAATCAACACACAGATACCCATAGTCTCGTCACCACATAGAGACCCATAGACTCGCCACACTGAGACCCCATAAACTCTTCACATAGAGAGACCCCATAGACTCATCACACACAGAGACCCATAGACTCGTCACACTGAGACTCCATAAACTCAACACACAGAGATCCCATAGACTCATCACCACACAGAGACCCCATAGACTCATCACACAGAGAGACGCATATACTCACCATACAGACACGCCATAGACTCACCACACAGAGACCCCATAGACTCATCACACACGGAGACCCATAGACTCGCCACACAGAGACACCATAAACTCAATGCACAGAGACCCCATAGACTCATCACACACGGAGACCCATAGACTCGCCACATAGAGACTCCATAGACTCACCACACAGAGACCCCATAGACTCATCACACACGGAGACCCATAGACTCGCCACACAGAGACACCATAAACTCAATGCACAGAGACCCCATAGACTCATCACACACGGAGACCCATAGACTCACCACACAGAGACCCATAGACTCACCACACAGAGACCCCATAGACTCATCACACACGGAGACCCATAGACTCGCCACACAGAGACTCCATAAATTTAACGCACAGAGACCCCATAGACTCAAAACACAGTGAGGGCAGACATGCGTCTGGTAGTCCCTGCTGAACGCAAGGGGTTCACCCCCAACCCGCACTTTGCGAGAATAAGCTGCGCGCTTACTGGAGCCTTTGTAGACTAGGATTGTCCCGCAGGTGGTCCCTGGCATATTGGGACACGTGATGAGGCCGCGCTCGTTGCACTCCGTGTTGTTCATGATCGGATCGCACTCGTAGCATCTGAGGCTGTGCACTGTATATCCACAGAATCAAGACACAAGAACAACACCAATCATCACCATCATCATCACGGCAGACGATCATCCTCATCATCATCATCACGGCAGACCATTATCATTATCACGGCAGACGATCATCATCACGGCAGATGATCATCATCACGGCAGACGATCATCATCACGACAGACCATTATCATTATCACGGCAGACGATCATCATCACGGCAGACGATCATTATCATCACGGCAGACGATCATCATCATAACGCTGCTGCACTGCCACTACGAACCTTGCGACCCGAGTTTGATTTCCGTTCACAGCCGCCAACACCACAGGTGGCGATTATCTGAAGAAGTACCCTGGGGCCTCCTCCCACGAGGTCGACTCGTCCCCAAATGGGTTCCTGGTGCAGTGGTGTAGCGGTGTGTAGTAAACATCGCCACTGGGGAGACAAAGGTGGCTGGGCGTGGTGCTGGCCACACACCGCGTCGTGTGTCTTTGCCGGCCGTCATAGGTGCTGTTACTCGCTAATAGCACTTTCCCCAACAGTCTGTTCAGGCTATACGGGTTTTTTTGTCTTTGTACGGGGTGTGTACTGGATTTATGTAGGAGGCTCGTGAAGGACGCTCCTACTTTGGCACTTGGAGGCAGTCGCCCATCCAAGAACAACAGACTGCAGGTGGAGCGACGCTCACAACGACGAGCGGAGCGCCGGGCGGATTAAACGCAGCGAGTTGGCACAGTTGGGGGGCACAGGTGGTGCATCTGCACAGTCATCTCAGTCGGTCAACGCATGTCACCTACAGGGTCTCAGTCGACCTGTGGTATCTGGGTCTGCCCCGTGACTTCCTGCCAGCGGGCGTTCGACACTTCACGTGGCCTCAAAGTGCACATAGCCTGCCACAAGCGGTTGTTGTTGTTGTTGGAGGTATTAACGACAAACACTCAGCTACACACGTAGCGACACACGTAGCCTCAGTGGCCTCTTACCCCTGGTAAAATTAAAATTGTAAATAGTGAGTGAATTGAAGAGTTAGTTAATATGACAAAATGTAAAAATAAAAACGGACCGAGAAACCGCAAATTATTCGAGACGAAACACGATTGATGAATGTCTCAACGCTTGAGTCTTTAACGAAAAGAGAAGCCCTTAACTTAATTTCAAAATGGAATGCGGGCATGAATACGCAGCACCAAACAAGTCCAACACAAAGGGTGTACCAAAACTAAACACCCCGAAAAAGTTAAACGTATAATAACTGTGTCGATATTGGAGATACTGTGGCAACGTCTTTGTAAATTATATGCATTCGATTTACTATGTAGTTGTAACTAATATTTATTGGGTACTTTCTGATTCTGATATAATGACAAGTCCGGTCATGTTCAGCAGCAGGCATCGTCAGGGTGTGGGATCGAACCCATGCACCTCCTGTATACCAGGCGAGGTAGTTAACATCTCTATATATCGCTGTATCGGTGTTGCTTTGGTGTTGTTGCAACAACAAACAACTCGCCACGCAGAAGTTGTCTCACCTCCGCTCACGAACAGCAACGCCACGAGGAGCAGACCAGGCAGGTGGCAAGTCATGGTTCGAGTCGTGGAGCCTGGCGTTGTGGCGCCTTTGGGATGGAAAGTCGGCGAGATGAGAGAGACAGAGTTACAGTCACAGAGAGAGATATATATCTCTGGAGGGTTGACTGCGTCTGCGTGGTGAACTGGGATACTTTATAAGCCCCAGAGATTAATGGGATTGGGGAAGACACTCCTACAATCATATTTGCATATTCGCTATGAGCAGTTGGGGGTGGTTTGTAAATATACATTTATCGGAGCTCGTTGCTTATACAAATGTGGCTGGCACACGAAGTGGGGTGTGGTCGGTGTGGTGGGTGGGATGAATGCGGTGGATGGCCAGTGCCACGCGCTCTCGGCCACCTTTGCCTCTCTCCACTGCAATCATATAAACCTACGCACACCTGCATGCACACAACAACCGCCATTCGCCAATAAGTGGCGGTGACGTCACCACGATGCTTGTGCCAAGCTAGGTGCACGTTGAGGTCACGTGAAGTGTCGAACGCCCGCTGGCAGGAGGTCACGGGGCAGACCCAGGTGCCACGGGTCGACTGACTGAGACGACTGGTAGATGCACCATCTGTGCCCCCTACTGTGCCAACTTGCTGTGCTTTAGCCACCCGGTGCTCTGCTCGTTGTTGTGAGCATTACTCCTCTCCCTCCGTTGTTGTTGGAGGGCGATTGCCTCCAACTGCCCAGTAGCATCATTCGTGAGCCTCCTTGACACCGCTGGTACCAGTCATCGGCAAGTCCACTCAGCTCCACGTCTTCCTGTATCACGTCACTCCATTTCGTCTCTAGACCGTGCCGCTCCCGTTTAGCCCCCACGATCCGGCGGAACAAAAGCTGTTTAGGCATGAGGTGACTGGGCATGCGGGCGACATGACCCAGCCAATGCAGCCTTGCCTAACCGGAGGAGCTCACCGATGGGACTTTGTCCAGATCTTTCAAGGATTTGTGAGCTCCTCGTACAATCCAGCCTGGTTAAACCCAGGATGGATCGTCGGCAGGCCAGCCTAAATGTTTCTAACCGGCGAAGATGTTCCATTAGGGGGTTCCACGTTTCGCAAGCATAGAAAAGGGAGCGAATGACTGAAGCTTCGTGCGGAGCGACAGACTAGTTAGCTTCCACACAGCGTTACGCAACTGATGAAAAGGTGATGCCGCTCGACTGATTCGGAGTGAGACCTCTGCTGTTAAACTGGAGCCGGTAATGAGCACACTGCTCAGGTATGGGAAACTCTCCACTTTCTCCACAACTGCCCTATCACCAATTGGGAGTTGTGTGGGTGGATTGTCCAATGGTACAAAATACCCAGTCAGGTGTTTCGTTTTGGTGGTGCTGATGGTAAGGCCCCACCTCTTAGTGGAAAGCTCCGGGTTCAGCAGCAGTGCCTCCAGCTCCTCCTCTGAATGAGCAGCTATTACCAAATCATCGGCTTACATAACGTGGTTGAGCAATAGGGAGACATCCCTTGACCGCACCCGGGCATCGATAAGCCTCCCATTGTATCTGTACCAGATGGAAATTCCTCCGGTACAGCTATTGAAGGCTTCACAAATTACGTGGTCGAAGTAGATGTTAAATAATGTGGGAGAGGATATACTTGTCGCACCCCAAAGCGTACAGGGAATGGCTCCGACTCCCGGCCACGTAGTTTTACCCGGGCCTGCTCACCATCATGACGGGTGTAATATTAACCTTTCGCAACGTCCTCAGTATGTATGTATATGCCCATAGACTCATCACAAAATACTCACAGATTCATTGTGCAGAGACCCATAGACTCACCACACAGATACCCATAGACTAATCACGCGGATAACCATAAACTGACCACACAGACACCCATAAACTCAATACAGAGACTCATAGGTTCACCACACAGAGGCCCATAGACTCACCACACAGATACGCATATACACACTACACAGAGACAAATAGACTCATCACACAGAGACCCATAAACTCATAATGCAGAGACCCATCGACTCACCACACAGAGACACATCGACTCACCACACAAAGACCCATAGACTCACCACACAGAGACCCATAGAATCATCACACCGATGCCCATGGACTCATCAGACAGAGACCTACAGACTCATCACACATAGACCCATAGACTCGCCACACAGAGACCCATAGACTCACCACATAGAAACCCATTTGTTCACCACACAGAGAACCATAGACTCATCATGCAGAGACCCATTGATTAACCACCCAGAGACCCAAAGACGCATCACACAGAGACACATAGACACACCGGACAGAGACCCATAGACTCATCACACAGAGACCCATAAACTAATAATGCAGTGATGGAGTGGGTGTGTGGTGAGTAGATGAGGGTGAGTGTCCGAGTGAATGAGTGTGAGTAGTGAGTGTGATTGGGGAGTGTGAGCAGTGAGTGATGAGTGGGTGTGTGGTGAGTGGGTGAGGTTAGTGTGTGAATGGATGAGTGGTGAGCGTGAGTGGTGAGTGTGATTGGTGAGTGTGAGCCGTGAGTAATGAGTGGGTGTGTGGTGAGTGGATGAGGGTGTGAGTGGATGAGTGGTGAGTGTGAGTGTGATTGGTGAGTGTGAGCCGTGAGTGATGAGTGGGTGTGTCGTGAGTGGGTGAGGTTCGTGTGTTAGTTGATGAGTGGTGAGTGTGAGTGGTGAGCGTGATTGGTGAGTGTGAGCCGTGAGTATGAGTGGGTGTGTGGTGAGTGGGTGAGTGTGTGAGTGGATGAGTGGTGAGTGTGATTTAAAGTAGCTGCTTGCCTTGCCAGGGCAAGGTTATCCACCATGTGTACCCAAATTGGTGTGGCAATGGTTTGGTGAACAATGCAGTTAAACAATCGCGTCGCCATTCACAGCGCCTCAATAACGTCCACTCTCTCGTCAAGGCGTGAAGTCACACGCAAGGCACCCTTTTCGACCCAGGTACTAAACCTTTCAACGGCGTGCGAGTTCAACCCCACCCACCGCCCCCCTCCAATGATGCTTGGCGATCTTGAATGGATTTTCGAAAGGGAACTCACAAACAAATGCCGTCTCGATGTTGGGAAAGACCCAACCTTAGAAAATCCCTGGGGCTTGACTTGCCAAGAAGCTGCTCATTTTGCACCCCTTAAACCGCATCCAGTGGACAAATCATGGCGGCGGCAGCAGATGCGGATACCAGATGAGGCACGAATATAAAATTTCAAACTTTCCAGTATTAGCATGCCACTGTGGTCCTCCAGAACAGGCCGCAATTCCCCTATCCACAAATACGAAGAAGGAGACGTCACAGAGATGCTGCTAATGGTGATACAACTACCTCTGCTACTTCTCCTGCTGATGCGGTAATCTGTGGCGTGACCACCTGAATTGGGAAATTGGTAGTCGTTGCTAGGTGACAAGAACATGCGACTCATAGATACCCATACAGATCCAGAACTTACAGAGATGCAGAGAGACACAGAGGACCCATAGAGGCCCGCAGAGACTCGTAGGCACCCACAGAGACTTACAGAGATCCGTGGAGACTCAGACCCAGGGACACCTGTAGACCCAGGCTCAGACTGGTTAACACCCATAGAGATCTGTAGACCCACAGAAACTCAGTGACTCGTAGGCACCCACAGAGATTCACAGAGACTCAGAGACCAACATAGACTCAGAGACCAATAGAGAGGCATAGAAAAGCATAGGCACCCACAGAGACTCGCAGATATCCATGGAGTCTCAGACCCAGACATTCTTGTAGACCCAGCCTCAGAGACTCATAGAGACCCATAGACTGACCGAGACCCGTAGGCTAATAGAGACATCACAGCAATGCATTCCACTGCTACTCCTGACGCAGTTGTCTGGCTTGACCACCTGAATGTGAAAATGTAGTCGTTGTCTCTGCATCTACCAGATAAGTGCCCACTGAGCTATGTAGCTCTGTTTTCAGAAGCGACACTGGCTATCACAAATGATTGCAAATCAACAAAGAGGCTCATCACATGGACATTTATAGCAGCCAAATACTAAACCCTGTTTATTTTACCAGGTGTAATGCCGCACTGAGCAGCTGTGTAGCTGTTTTTTTCAGATGCGACCTGGCCATCACAAATGATAGCTCCACGAAGTGGCTGATTTCATCATCAAATGTATAGCAGCAGCAAAATACTCGAAACAAGCACACAGTTAGTACATCAACAAGTAGATTGGTGTCTACCTCTGGTCCATACAGGTACACAGGTACTCGGCTACAGAGTACACAGTTGATACATCAACAAGTCGATTGGTGTCTTACTCCTGGTCCATACAAGTACACAGGTTCTCGGCTACAGAGTACGCAGTTGGTACATAAACAACTCGATTGGTGTCTAACTCCTGGTCAATACTGGTGCTTGTGCTTTTGCCACTTTCTGGACCAGGTTCGACCCCTTGGTCTTGGGGGTAAACCGTGTTCTTCAGGTGGTCGTGGAAGACTTAAAGCTTTCCTGACTGCAGGAATTCATAGTCTTGAGTCTTTTCGATAAAGATAGGTTCAAAGTATTTCGGTAAAGATAGAATCAAAGTCTTCAGGAAGACGACCGCTTGTGTTGCCATCGAAAAGTCGTAGTTTTTTTGTTATTTTTGTTATTTTCTTTGAACCTATCTACGTGACTTTACCGAAAGACCCAAGAATGTGGTCGTAGAAAAGTTTAGCGCCTGGTCCCGGCTTCGTTGCCCGAGATGGGTTGAAGTGCTGGGGTAGTACCGCTCAGTGTGTGTTTGTTTTTTGCCGCAGAAGGTCACTTTCATAAGTGTATTTCGGCGCTCCGGTCGTCCTCAACAACGAAATGCTTTGACTGCTGTTGTTGTCTTGTGGGCATTTGGCTTGAGCCTCCAATTCTAGAAATATTTCCCACGGGTGTTTTAGCATGCCACCGTGGCTAGGGAGATGGTAACTTGGATCCCGACCCTGATGCCTGCTGTATATTTTGAGTCTCTCTCCCCGTGGTCGCGTGGATTTTTCACCGGGTTCTCTAGGTCTTTTTTCCCTCCACATATGGAATCAACATCACCACGCATTTCGAGTATTTGGCTGCGATAAATTTCCACATGATGATGATGATGATATCAGCCACT